ACACCGAACAAGCTTGAGTGACTACCGTGCAGAGTAATACACTACTCTCGACACAAAGAAGCTCCCTCTCAAGGTTTGTGATAACCCCAGCAATAATCTCAAGAAATCTTTTCTGATGTGGAAGATCAGTCAAAACTGCAACCACAGAGCATACTGGAATTTCAAGAGACTTTACAACCAATGCTCTACCAAGAACGATCCCTGACCGACTTGGCTCTAGATACCAATTGTTGAATAAGAAGAGTATCCAAGATAACTCTAATGATCCCAAGAAGAAGAAAATAGAGCACACTCTTAAAGAAAGCTCACAAAACAAACTAATTAGCAAAGCTTTTCTTATTTAGCTCTAGGCTTTGTTTTTCCTTGGATGATATACAATGCTTGGGGACTTGGGTATTTATAGCAAACCAAATGAAAGCTACACCACACACTTACTTCACCTACAACATCCACCTACTTCACCTACAACCTCCACTTACTTCACCAACCTCACACACTTACTTCACCTACAACATCCACCTACTTCACCTACAACCTCCACTTACTTCACCAACCTCACACACTTACTTCACCTACAAATGACATTGATTCTCAACATCTTGTACCTTAAACTGGGTCAATTAGATGCCGTGATTATTTCATCTGCCAAAGCTGCCCAGGAGGTGTTGAAGACACATGAGCTTGCATTTGCGCAGAGGCCTATTGTTTTGGCGACAGAGGTAATGTCTTTTGGTCAAGGAGGTATTATCTTTGCTCCTTATGGAGATTCATGGAGATCGTTGAGAAAGGTTTGTATGTTCGAGCTACTGAGCGCGAAACGTGTGCAGTCTTTCAGATCCATAAGAGAAGAAGAGGCACAGAATCTTGTTGAGTCCATTGGCTCAATGTCTCACAAGGGACTTGTCATCAATTTTAGTGACATGTGCTGCAGCTTCGCAAGTGGCGTAGTGTCAAAGGCAGCATTTGGGAAAAAATGCAAAGACCAAACAGAGTTCCTTTCGCTACTAGACAAAGTAAACAAACTCTCTAGTGGGTTTGATATTCCTGATTTGTTTCCTTCACTCCGTGTTCTTGGGTTCGTAACTGGGTCGATCCCTACTTTGAAAGACATACAAAGCAAGCTCGGTAAGATTCTCGAAAATATCATCAACGATCATAAGACCAAAATATCCAAAAAGGACTTGATGATCAGTAGTACTAGTACTACTACAGCAGGCAATGACAAAGCAGAGGAGGGGAAGGAGGAAAATTTTGTTGACGTACTTCTAAAACTTAAAGAGTCCAATAAGGCGGAGTTCAACTTCACTACCAATCAGATCAAAGATTTCATTATGGTGAGTAATGTAGGCTTGCTTTGTTGTACTGTATACATTTCATCTTCCTCGTATTCATAACTCAATAGAAATATATGAAGGGGTTTCATCACAAATGGTTGCTTACATTTTTGAAACTCATGATTTTGGTCCCGCACATTGAAAATCAATTATTGTCATGCTGCACATTTTGCCCCACACACCAATATTGTCCTTACGGTCTAACTCAGTAAAAAAAATTTGTTTATGTGCAGGACATCTTCGCTGCAGCAAGCGAGACTTCAGCTACTATCATAGAATGGGCAATGTCAGAGTTGATGAAAAACCCAAGAATCATGAAGAGGGCTCAAGTTGAAGTGAGGCAGTTAGTCGTCCAATTTGAAGGAAAGAATGGCAAAGTTATTGAAGAAAGAGATGTTAAAAAGTTGGACTACTTGAAATCGGTGGTGAAAGAAACTCTGAGGTTACACTCTCCACTCGCTTTGCTCCCAAGAGAAGCAAGTGACACGGTCCAAATTGGCGGATTCAAAGTACCAATTAAATCAAAAGTAATTATTAATCTATGGGCAATGGGAAGAGACCCAGATATATGGGGGGCAGATGCTGAGTGTTTTAAGCCAGAGAGGTTTCATGGCTCTTCTGTTGACTTTAAGGGTTTTGACTTTGAGTTCATTCCATTTGGTGCTGGCAGAAGAATATGTCCAGGCATGTCATTTGGTGTTACCATGATTGAACTTGCTCTTGCTGAATTGCTCTACCATTTTGATTGGAAACTGGCGAATGGGATGAATCCCAACGAACTTGACATGACGGAGAGTTCAGGACTGACCTGTAAGAGAAAGAATGCTTTGTACCTAACTGCCACCCCACATTTTACTTCACGCGGTGAGTTACAGTGACTCGGTGTTTTGTTGCCATGAATGGCCAACAAAACCAGCACCATTCTGGTCTTTCAGGTATCAATTGTTCATTCACTTATGTTTTCCCTCTTTTATAGGCTAAAACATGTTTTCCGTCCCATCGGCCTTCGCAATGTTCCACTTTCGTTCCTATGTTTTCGAGTGCAACGATTTTCATCCCTGCAGTTTGCATTTTGTTTAAATCTAAGGCTTCTTTTCACTTAGTACTTGCGTAATAAGGCATGATTAATGCAATGTTAATTCATTAATAATAATATGTTATGTATCCCTAAGATGTGAACTTCTTATTCAGATCAGTAATATATGTACTTGTGTGTGTTCTTTTGGTGAATGCTACTTCATACGTTGATGATATGTACTTCATACTTATGAGTATTCTTTCAAAATTCGCTATCCATAGTGATTGCCTGAGACGACGAATAAGAAATAAACTTGCTTAGAGTACGATCAGGGTCGCCGTCGGGAACCAGAGGCCAAGGGCGGCTCAGCCTCAAGTTTTTACGCATTAGCAATGTTAAACCTATCGGCCAATGACGCGATAGTACTCCATTAAACATAGTTTAAGAATTTTGGATATTGTGCTGATAGATAGTGTATTTCAATTTCCACTCATTCAAGGTCTCTGCTGAATTTGGACAAATTTTTTAGTACTAGGAACACAAACCACGCAGTGCATCATCTCACGTGTGGTGAACGATATGGTTTATATGTCCAATGAAAGACAAATCCGAAGACTTCTTCGTATATTGGCCTCACCCAACCCTTTTCGGTTCCACCGCTACCCTTGAGCAGTCCAGCCGGAGAACCCCAACAGCCACCGGGTTAAAAAGAGGGAGAACTTCAGGCTACAGCGTGAACGTAAGAAAGCGAGAGAGGAAGGCTACATCCTTCAAAACGAACCTGAGCTACTACTTGCTTCTGCTGATGCTGCAGACGCCAATCCAGTTTGTTAATTTCTCGATTGTAAGTTGAGCAATCTTGCAGTTGCGTTTGCCTTGCTTTTCCTGTTCCCTTATGTAAAATTTTATAAGAACACTTCCACCGGAAAATCTCAAGTCATGTTTTGAATTGCAATTTTAGTGCCTCTCGTCTACTGATCAGTTGAGTCTGCAAAATCTCACTCCGATTCTCCTTTTCGTTCTCCATATGTTCTAAGATGATAGAATTGAAATGAATCTCGAACCCGAAAGGGTCACCAGACACACAGAACTGACCAAAGTCAATAAATTGAGCTAGGCCAAATCTTTTGAATTATAGTGGAACTACTTAAAGAGGGTACAATACTACAATCTCAACTGCTTCAGAAACATCATTTCAACTAGCTTTCAAGAAACAAATGTCAAAAACACTGATTAACATCACAGTGCCCGTGACGGTAGATCGTGATGGTAGATCTTGGCCCTCCTTAGCGTTCACTGCCAAACTTTCATCTACTGGAAGGTGCCAAACGACCTGCAGCACAAACATTAAATTTTACCGACGCTTAATTGGCGAAACAATGATCAAGAACCTTAATCTTTAAGTAGAAATCCTGTGATTCCCTTGATTCACGACTACAAGCATTCCCACGCAATCATACACGATGATCAAACACTCGGAAATTGGAACAATTCGCATGTAAATCTGTATAAAACCAATCACATTTGACTCGCAGAATCCAGTCATTCAAGTTACATAAAACAGATGGAACACCGGTGCCATTGTGCAACTTTCTCAAGCAATGAATTGCCTTCATATACAAAATTAGGATAATTCAATACAAACACAATTCCAAATATAATGGGCAACCTTAAGCCAACAAGACTCTCCGCTTTGCGATGGTCGAAAGGAATACTCAACCTTACCCTTGAGGCTGTTTTCACAACGCGAACCCGTGACCTTTTGGTCACAAAGGAGCAACCTTTCTGTTGCGTCAAGGTTCGCCCTCCCATTTCCAAATATTAGATCATGGAAAATGGTAATTAAGAAAGCCTAAGTCAGAGTTCCAGAGTTCCATTTGCAAATTCATTGCATGCAAACTGATCATATAAAGAGGGCATTACCTAAGCAGCTCCGACGATGATGTTGTTGATCGGGATGAAGATCAGCTTCACGAAAAATCCCACGAATCAGATTGCCGTACGGAGCGCCACCATTGTGAACTCTGTTACATTCAAACGGAAAAGAAAAGGCGCGCCGGATAGATTAGACCGGTCCAAAGCACAGATCGCATCTCGAAGGTTTTCAAAATCAACAGGATTACGTTACAAATTACATGCAGGTTGGATTAATTATCCTAAGAAGGAAATGGATGGGACTGGATTGGAAGTGGATGGTGTTATTATTACCTTTACGGTCGGGTTTGTGGCAGCGCTTGACGAGGCGGACGCTGTCCTTCGAGAACTCTCTCAGCGGATTGAACACTGAATCGATGGCGTCCATTTTTTCCGACGAGCTGAAGAATTGAGGGAGCGAAGACCACGAACACGAACACAAATATCGATGTTATAAGCTGAATCGAAAGTGCATTAGTTTTGAGAATTTATTGATTTGTTTGGAAGTACTTTTTAAATGAGTGGAAGCGTTTTTAAAGGAAATGATTTTAGGTTTTAAAAGCACTTGAAGTGTGTTCTGCAAAAAACATCAGTTATGTGTTTATTACAGGAAGCATTTTAAGTGATTTACTTGCATTTTTACTAAGAAGTACTTATTTCAAAAACGTTTTCACCAAAAGCGCTTTCAGCAATTTTAAAAGCACTTTCAGATGAACTATTGCATTATGCTAAAAGAAAAAATAAAATATTCCATCTACATCAGTGATCCCAAAACATCCTTACAATCAGAGGGAGTAGCAAGCTGCTCACTCATAACCGTTCAACAATTAATCATCACGTACAACATTCAAAATCTTCCGAAGGAGTTCTCGGCATTCCAACTTATGCAGAGTCCGGTTTTTTCTCACGTTGAACGGCTCTTGGGACGAATGCCACGCCACGAGTGGGTCGACGACCAAAGCTGATGGCTGAAGGGGTCGAGTCTGATGTGCTTAATTTGGAGACGGCAGAAACAAGGCCATCCATGGTTTCGTTATCTACTTGCGTACTAGATGAATCTGCCTTCTTCGGAACAACTTGTCTCCGCTGGTTCTTCTTCTGCCTCTGTTTTTTGGAAGGAAGAGCCTGCTTGAAAAACTCAAATGAAGTGGGGAATTTATGCTTGTCCACCAGATGTTGCTGCCGACTTTTATAGTTCTTGAACTTCAAACCGCAGCCTTCTACAAGGCAGTCATACTGTTACACCACAGAAATCCAAACAAAATTAGAACGATTAAACAAACACGATAGAGAAACCTTTCATCTTCGAACAGTATATAAACCAGAAAGCATATCTATAGACAATGATATCACCAAGCAAAAACCATAAGCTTTAGTCGAGACGCTAATGGTGGAATTCAAGAGGAAAAGAAAAGTATGAAAAGTCTTCTATGGTAATGTTTGGATTGTGTTCTTGCTTCACACAGAACGCTAACATTTTCAACAAATAATGCTTTAACAAAAGTGCAAGAAGAACAGTCACCAAAAACCTGGTGCAAGAGACGAAAGCAAACCATCATTTCAGTATATAAACCAGAAAACATCTGTACAGACGGTATCATCTAGAAAAAGCCGTGAACTTTAAGTAATGCCGGATCGATTCTTCAGTTTTAAGTATAACACTAGTTCACTTATTTGAAACTTTGAAGGGTAATGATATGCCGTCTAGGGGCAAGGATTTCAGTGATTAGCCAATTCATTATCGGTGGAACTCAAGCTCGACAGCTAGATGGTAGAAGAGAGAACAAAAACTATGAAATGACTTCGATCATGTTTGGGTTCTGTTTTTTCTTCCCCTAGAACTCTCATAGTTTAAAGCCAGCAACATTTGAGTAAAAATGAATGAGGAACTGTCACTATGCCATAACTAACTCAATTTCGAAAGCAAGAAAAAATGTCATATGATGGACAATACCAACACGAATCGAGGAGGAAAATAAAGAGTAAATACCATGAGATAGCCGCGTGCCACTTTCGCCTGAAAGAAAGAATCGTGTGCTTCGGATACATGCATGCTGAGCAACCGTGACGTTGGGTAGACTCTAGAGCACACAAAACAAGACGCGGTGTGCCGTGCATTGTAGTGATCTTCAAAGTCCTCCAAGGAACTCAAGCGAGCACCGCAACCAACAATCGAACAGAAAACCCCCCTGCAAAAGCAAAGCACGCACTTCACATCAAGTAAAAAAGCAACAAAACAAACAATAGCGTCTTACTGCAGTACATTAATTTCATATAACCATGAAATGTGAATACCTGCCTTCCTCATCTACCATTTTTCGAAGCTGATGCTTTTCGTCTTCGGTTAAATCCAATGCAATCTAATTAAAATTACAGCATAAAGCAACCCAAAATCCAAAATTCAAATGTGCTAGCAAAATTTTGAAATGCTAATTCCTCATTGCGCTTTATGATTAAAAAACCCATTTCAAATTCGGACTCGAGCGACGCAAATCATCCGAGATGACATCAAAATTCATGAAATTTACACCAAATTAGAGAGAAATGTAAACCTGTTTGGCGAGCAGTTCCCTCTCGATGTTTCCAGATGCGAAGAAAGGGGATTCAGGACCGAACCTTCGACGGAGGGGTTTCCAGTGCGGAAACACCAGTCGTGCTTCTTCTACATCCATCGACGCCATGGCCGTTGTGCTTAGAGTCTTCCTCTGCAACTGTGTGCCCTCAGATAGACTCGTTTGAAATTTGAATCGCGTATCGTAAGATTCGTATGCTCCAACCGTACGAAATATTGGGGAGATTTTTCAGTTGCTACATCACGTATTATTATACAAATAATGAGATATATGTGTTAAAATATTAATAACTTAAAAAATAAAATTTTTCATTATTTACATAAAAACATGTGGTGCAGTATCCATATTTCCGTCATAATAAAAAATTTCTCGAAATATTAAGCGGCTTCTAGGTGCGTGCGCTTTTTGGGCTTCGTCCTCACCAATACAGCCCACCATGACAGATTTGGGCTTGCCGACTTGCTATAAGGCCATCTGTATATGGGCCTATTTGCATGGTATATGATTTCCGGCCCTCTTGAGAGAGACCTGGTTTAGAGGTTAACGTTGCATTCGAAGTTCCCAACTTCATTTGAACTTCGCAATATTCAAGGCAGGGATGCGAAGCATCGATCATGATTTTGCTTCACCAAACGGGGATGCAGAGAAGGACTTCACTGACAAGCTGTCGTTAGCTGGAGACGGGTTTGACACCGGGATCAAGGCAAAGCAAGCAGTGGAAGCACAAAGCCCCGGTGTCGTCTCTTGTGATGACATCTTGGCTTTGACTGCCCGGGATTGTGTATTCTTTCTAAGTGTTGTCTTGAGACTCATATGAGTTGTGGTGCGCATCCACTAGACAATGAACTAGCTCTCTTATGTTCCACATTCAAATTTTCTGCAGGCAGGAGGCCCTTCATTCAACGTCGAATTGGGACACCGTGATGGACTATCTCGAAAGCCTCACGGGTTGCTGGGAAAGGGTTGTTGAGCTCAGATCAGGTTCTTTTCTCTGGCTCTGCATCACAGCCCATTGTCCTTGATTTTGCTAAGAACACAGGTAACTTCAACGGAGCCTCGTCGCTGCCATGAGGAAGCTTGGAAGAGTCGGTTTTAAGACTGGTAATCAAGGGTGGATCAGGAGACACTACACCACCTTCAATTCATGATCATCGAAAGCTAAGAAATATTCATCATGGCATAACCTACTGGTTCTAATTAATAGGGTTAACAAGCACCCGATAATCTCCAAAGAACTTAATTCTCAGGAATTTAAGTTTTTCATAACAATTGTAAGTGTTCTAAGAGACAATCTTTCAATTCATTCATGGGAAAATTATGGACACAACTGATCACGAAACAACAAAATTTCAAGGTCGGCAAAATTCAATACAACGTTCTTATACTCGAAAAGACAATCTTACACGACCATACATAGCACTGAATTGGGGCACCGATCCTCGAGAGTACTGAAGAGGCGTGCACTTGCCTCCATCATCCTTGAAATGTGGTTACAGAAACACACAAACAATCTACACAACCTCAGACAAAGTATAGAAACATCAAAACAATTTGGAAGAAATACAATGTGGTTTGACACAGAAAAAAAATACAGGATGTATTAGATGGAATCCTCAGCTCATGAAAGCCCAGCTGGACGTGATTTTCCATACAGGTGGGCGTATACAATCTTAGTCCGATGTACCAGAATCATGCTTAAAACAAAGGCAACAATGCATAATCCGGACATGATTAACGAAGTTAAGAAGAAGCATATAGAACCGTCACACTTTGGCGCGTCCATTCGAAGCACGCCTTGGAAAACTGATGTTCCTGGACTCATATGCAGGTGATGGTGCTGACGAGCTTGCTTCTCAGCTTCAAAGTCGTATATACTGCTAGCAATCACGCCAGAAAAGAGCAACGAACCAGCAGGGTTTGCAATTGTGAGGAAATTGTACAAGGCCCCAAACTTTTTCAAGCCAAACAATTCAGAAGCAGCAGCTGGCACTATCGCCCAATGTGCCCCATAGCCTAGCCCAACCAAGATGGTGGCAATGTGCATTGCCCCAGGCCATCCGAAAGCAATGAAGATATGCCCAATTGCCATAATGAATTGTGCCACAGCCATTGCTACCGGTCTTGGATAAGCATAGTCCCTATCAAATGCATAACAATGGATGAGAATTGAGAAGTCACAAACCCAAGTTTAAATAATGCTCTACATAAACTCTAGATGAGAATGTATTCAGTTCGTACCTCACAATAATCTCAGAGAAGTAACCGCCACCAACCCGACCAAGAAAGTTCCAGATGCTGATCATGGATACAAATATATGTGTATCGTCATACCCGAGAGACTGGCTCATCTGACCGAGGTTATCAATCACTGTTAAACCAGATCCTGAACCCAAGAGAAGTGAGAAAAAAATAAGCCAAAAGTCTGCTTTGATCAAAGCTTGTGTCAAGGTGAAGTCTTCCCCTCTATGCGGACCTGTCCTCCTCTTAACCCTAACTGCTCCCTCGGCAGCTGCTTGGAATAGTTTCGATTGCAATTGTGCAATTCGTTTTTGCCGTTCAGATGCTGGAAGTAAGTCCATTTCCTTAGGCTTCTCGTCTTCCACCTCACTAAATATTACCTCATTAGCATCGTGCCCAGACTTCCTGGGGTCTTGTTTCTGTGGCTCGGGCAGGAGTGCCTCTTTTTCTAGAGATCTTGACTCGGAAGAAAAGCTCAACGAAATGGGAATCACTATGGGAATCAACAGGAGCACAAACAAAACCGCTGTAAATATAATCATCACGGTGTGGCTCAAATCAATGAGATCTTCAACTAGCATGACCCCCATCAAATAAGCAGCTAATAGGAGGCACAGACTATAAATAAGCGTGAAGCTCAAGTCATCAGTTGGCCGGACTTGTCTGTGACCTCCAACCGGTCTGACAATAAACATTAAAGCAATAACCACCATTGCTGGACCAACCGCAACCATGAAAATCAAAGATGCATGATCTGGTGAATGGATCATCACATATATCTGAGTCAGAATTGCGCCGCCCAACCCAGCAAAGCCCTTGAGAATTCCAACCACAGGACCCCGACTTTTTGGGAAGTTTTGCACACAAGAGACCAAAGCAACCGTATTGAAGAAGGTCTCGCCATTTGTTCCCACAAATATAAGAATACACATCTGCAAAATTGAAAATTGTAACTGTTAAAGACTAAACCAAGGCAAGATAACAAAAAGTAATACCGAATCATTTAAAAGAATACATGGCATAGGCACCAACCCCCCATTGCTAATCATAATGCTTAAATGGTTTGTATGTTTGTTATAAACATTGTTGCTTTATCAAAAGTTTTCATGAACGAGGTTTACTAACGCGGTAGAACATCTAATTACAAACCAGAAACTACTTACTCTACGAGAATGACCAATTTTGTTCCATCATAGCAAATCGCAGACACAGTGAGCAAATTTTGTTATCAAAACATATGACACAAAAATGGCTATATCCAGTAGCCACTACAAATGGCAAGTTTTGAGAAAATAAGAAAAACGCATCAAGGAAAAGACATAATATACAACAAAAGAATGTCTAAAGTTCCAAAAGCTCATTGAAAAAGCCCTTCTTCCTTCTTTTTTTCGGTGCACTTTACGCTTTGCTTAGACCACAGAAAATTGCAGAAATGCTGATTCCACAGACCAAACAGAGCCTTAAACAGCATGTATATATATACTCAATTCACTGCAAGTGGTCAACCAAAAAGGTTGCTAATTTATAAGAAAGTAACAAGTTTAAGGCAAAAGATTACTCCTTTTTTTTTGGAAAAATTAACATTAAGCTTCTTCTTATCAACTCAACCTCTCAAACCATACATACCAAAAAACACTATCCGTTTCCAGAGTTTCAATCAGTATATCCGCAAACTGAACGAAAAGAAGTAATTTTCGCAATCCCCTTTTCAACTCCTCACTCCTCCCTGTCTTTTAGCCTTTGGATTGGATTACCAAACGAAATCAAGAGCCAGAAATAAGGTAAAAGTGCAGAACAAGAAAACGGGAGTGCGAAAATCGCCAAAAACCATCCACAATGGCAAAACACATGATCAAACTAGATCAAAAAAGTAACAAAAGCAGAACAAAATACAAGAAAAGCAAAGAACTTTGGTTAGATATGATACTCACAGCCCACAAATTCAAGGAAGGAGCTCGACCAGTAACAACAAGCCAAACCCAACCGTACCCAACAAAGTTCATCAGAGCACCAACGAGCAGCGCCGCCCACAACGGCAGCACCTCGCACAAGCTCCCCGCCAAAAACCCAACGCTGTCCCCGAGATCTTTAGCCACACCCAGCCGCGCAATCTGCCGCTGATTGTAGTCCATGGAGCTCTTGATCACCGGCGATATGCTCCCGAACAAGTAGCCAATTCCCGCACATGACTGCACCCACATTGCCGCCACAAAAACCAGCCATCTGTTTCTGAAGAACGACCGCAGCTTCTCCTGCACCCGACCCATCACAGAAAAGTGATAACCTTCGACGATTTGGAAAAAAAGAGAGTTATTTTTTTTTTGTTGGGTTTTTTTTTTACGAGAAGATGAGGAAGAAGAAGAAGATATGCATTCCAGTGATGAGTGTGGTAGGCAGGCGGGTGGACGATGGTGATGTGCTGGATTTGGACGCGTGCTGACACGCTTTCCAATCTTAATTTTTAAATTTTTGATGGCGATGATGATGATTTGGATACATCCTGATGTGCTGGATGATGATGATGATGATGATGATGGCGGTGGATGATGGTGATATGCATTCCAATCGTAATTTTAAAATTTTTGTTTTTGGGCGCGGCATCTATGGAAAGAGAAATGCTACTATTCTTCGTGATTTTTCGGAATCTCGTATATTTTTAACATAATATTTTATAGTATTTTTAGCATAAGTGCATATGGCTATTACATATTATATCATCACTTCTAACATAAACAACGAATAATCTATAATAAAAATTCACTTCAAACATAATATCCTTATCATTTTTTACGTTGATTTGGTCAGATTATTTGGTATAAATGGAGAATATTAATTTTTATTTGTTCAAAGTGATTTATTGTGATTCATTTTAATGATTCATAAAAGTTAAATTGGATTCTTAAAACTCAAAAACCGACCTAATCATTTCAAATTACAATCGTGTGCTTGATGAAAAGCTTTTCACGTTTCATTTTTTGCTTTACTTTTGTGAAAAAGGTAAAAAAGGAAGAATATTATCCCCTTTATTTTGGTCCGAAAAAACGAAGGGTGGTGCTATCATACATTTGATTTTATTTCTTATGCATCCTTTTTAATTATCAATTGTTAAATCGAAAAAAAAAAATTGAAAGATAAAATCAACAATTAAAAATGAATGTGCAAAAAAAAATAAATGTATAAATAGCACCACCTAAAACGAAAGATCCACCTTTTGTGAAAGTGTGAGTGAAGTAGGTTGTCATTTTAGCATTTATTTTATTGCATAAAGTAGTGCTACGTAACATATCGTAAGTGGACTCTAACTTATATAAATGTGGGAAAAGGTAAACGACATAGATCATGTGGTATGCTCTATGTTTTTCCAATTGATGAATCGTCTCGTTTTCCAAATAATTAATGTAAGGACTCCAATTAATATTTTGCTTCATGACTAGCAATGTACTAATCCTGAAATAATTAGAAATAATATTTTCTGGATCTTGTTATTAAGGAGTTGTCGTTTTCCTTTGTATCAATCCAAAATGTGCCACGTTTCGCTGGAATCTCTTAAACGTAGTGTTGGCACCTTTAAGTTTACACATCTAGGGCTTTCTTGACAAGAATGTCGATATGTCCGAGTGGTTAAGGAGACAGACTTGAAATCTGTTGGGCTTCGCCCGCGCAGGTTCGAACCCTGCTGTCGACGTCTTTTCCAATTTTCCATTTTGTACCGACTTTCAAAAGGATCTTTTCCTTACTGGATTTTGCAGTTCCACGGCCCACATCCATTTGTTCAGTTGGGTTTGTCAGCTTTGAATATTTGGGCTCGGGTTATCTAATAGTCCATTTTTTTTCGTTTATTAATAGAAAATAAAAGTGACCTAGTATTTACTTATGGAGGGAGCTACTATAAGCTCACCGAGACCTAGTATCTACATGTAGTACTACATGGCTAAGTAATACATCATATTTAATAATAGGGTAAAGTGCTTATTCAGTTCTTGAAATATTACTTCAATGAAAGTTAGGTCTTCGAATTATTTTTTTCGGTAAAATAAGTCCCTAAACTCATTAAAAATTGCTAATTTCATTTCTACTATCATATTCAATGCTATTTTATCTCATTTTTAGTCAACTCAAGTCACGTGATACACTTTAGTGTGTAATACCGTTATTTTCTCGCCTATAAGTCCTTAGCATTTCATATAGGTTGCAAATCAAACGTCTAATTTACCCTCCTAAGTTAAGTCTATGCACTATTTCTTGATGAAAAACTACCAATCTACCATCCAATGTGTATCACATGCAAGTAATGTGACTTAAATTGACTGAAAATTAAATATAGTAGCTTCGAATATAATATTAGGGATGTAATTGGCAGATTTTTATAATTTAATGACTGATTTTTTTGAAAAAATAATAATTTATGAACCTAATTTTCACAGAGGTGATAATTTAGGGACTAAATTAGCAGTTTATCCTTAATAATATTGGTGGCTTGTATTCGGAGTAGTGTAGACTACTGAGCAGTCTAATTTTTAACCATATTTGTTAATTTTAATGTTAGTATATTGCTTGGAGATACCCCATTCAATATATTTTTTTTGTGCTTCTTTCCTATATACATGTTAATTTCGACTCTTCTAAATAAACAATTCAATATCAAATTATTGCTGACCTGATCATTGTATAAAAAAAAGATAACAAAGTATATGAATAGCAAACAAAAGTCTTTTAGTTAAATACCAAAATGATCCCTTAAGCAACTGAAAAGTGTCTTTTGAGATCCAAATGCTCCACCGAAATCAATATTATAATTTGATTGAAAGCAAGGGAGCCAATAATTAATAGGATTATCAGTAAAGGAAAAGGAAAACCAGCAACATTTATACCATAATAATGCTTTAGTGACAAGAAAGCTCCCTACCATCAATCTTCTTATCTTGATTTCTTATGGTTCCTAAAGACATTAGAAGTTTGGTTATACTAATGAGAGATTATTACATGTTACTGACTATATAATTTCGTGTTTATTGTTTTGATCGCGTAATGCAGGCTACATAATTACGCAATAGTAGGATATGTCAGATTTTTTGCAAATGGGCATCGTTTGCCCAATTCACCATCTATAGCAAAAGTAGAGTTGAGTAGCATTCTTGCAGGGTTTGAGTGTCATGTGGGAAGCTTCCTTTATTTAGGATGCATGTGATGTGAAGTGTAAACTACCAAACTACTTGGAAATGTGAACGAGGGAAATTGGAATAGCTTGATACTCTAACCTTACACACAACTTTTCTTTCCTTGTCTCTTCCTCCCAAATGCTCAACTTTATAATCATGCACACCTTTCATCTTTCTTTCCCTCGTACGACCCAATCCTTTTCCCACTCATTATATTAGCAGATCACAGCTAAACACATCTGTTAAGTTTTGGGAGAGATCAAGAGATCGAGATTTCTTCGATATGTCGGATTGGGGGCCGGTTTTCATAGCAGTGGTGCTGTTCATATTGCTGACACCAGGACTGCTGATTCAGATGCCGGGAAAGAGCCGGTTCGTGGAGTTCGGAAACTTTCAGACGAGTGGAGTGTCCATACTGGTTCATTCCATAATCTACTTTGCTCTCATTTGTATCTTCTTATTAGCCATTGGTGTCCACATGTATGTTGGCTCTTAATTGTCACTTAATTAAAAGGCACCAACGTATTATCTCGTCTCAACTTTACTTGTACACCTTAATTAGCTTGTTTGGCTCTGCATCTGAATTTGATCTTGCACTAATGTTTGTTTTTCCTCCCCTTGTTTCGGAGATTTAAATTACTCGTTAGGATCGTTGGTCATTGTTTGTCCCATGGATTTTTAAGTTTGATACACAAACTTAATCAATGGTAGAGTCGAGAATTATGTGAATGTTTAGCATAGAATTAGACTAAGTAAGTGATTAAGAATTAGAACACACAAGCTTAATTTCATTAGCCTCCATGTTTCTGCTAGGTGAGTTTCTTGCTAAAGCTTTTACTGGGGAACTTCTAAATTGATTAACTAACTAAATAAAGTTAATCAAAGGGAAAAAATGTGAAATAATCTGCTGATCTCTCAGTTACATGTCAAGATCATGTGTTATTGCTGCTCTGTGAGATCCTTGTTAGCGAGATTTCATCACGAAAGATTTACATTTATGCAGATTATGGAAGGTAAATGAAGGCATAAAGACCTTGGAAAATATAAAAGATTGCTATAATTTCTTATTTGCACAAAGCAGAAGCCAGGAAGGTAACTAGTAAGTAGTTAATAAAAGCAAGTAAAACAACAGAATTAACTCCTCCTTTCAGCTGGTATGCCAAACCACAACATTTCTTGGATCCTAAGCATAGATGTGAATGTCAAGAATAATAAGAAACAGAATGAGGAGCAAACCATAGATCACGGCGTGCAAGAACATCGACGCGATGTTCGTTTTCATGTTCATGAATTCCAAGGGACGTTCCTTTCCCGGCATCTGAAACACCAATCCCGGCGACAGAAACGCAAACAGCGCGGATGCTATCAGCGGAGCTGCCCAATCTTTCATTGTCAAAACAAGAAGATGTCACAGCAGAAGAACAAGGGAAGAGGAGGAGAAAGAATATAGCAAAAGTATATAAAAAGGAGCTTTGGATGCTTTATAATTTGGATTTAAGCCCTTGGAAGAGGGGAATAAGAATCCCTTAGGGCTAGAAAACAACATAATTAATCCAGTTTAATTAGCCTTATCTTTGAATTTTAAATGCTTTGGTGTTGCATTTGTTGTTAACTTGTTATTGCTTTCTTGGACTTTTGGATAAGGCTTAGCATCATTTACATTTTCTATTGCTATCAAGGCTACACTGTTACATTACTTCTCAGGAGAGAATTTGAGTGGGAGGAGATGTTTGGCAGATCATCTCATCCTTATGATCAACACACAAAACATCTTATTGAGACCCATTTTTTTATATTTCGATCTCATCCACTGCCGTTTTGGTTCCGTCTAATGAGTTTTAGCTAGTCAAGTACATGTTGCGTGTATTGACACCAATAACTTATGTATCTGTAAAATATATTTTACAAAATAATGAGGCTCGTATTCTATTTGTCTATAAAGAGAAAATTATTTTGATCCAATGACTTTACCAAAATTTTCTGACCAAACATAATTGTGGTGTTTGCAATTGCTATCAGTAGCAGTTACATTTGACACCTGTTTCAAGTTGAAAGGTTGGCTGTCAAGCGCTTCAATCCCTGTCCAAATCACACCACCATCATATTCAATTCGAATGTCGATCAGTCCATGCCACCGAAAAGCTTAAGGCTTTAGGGGGCGTTTGTTGCGCCAGACTATCTCGGACTGAATTAGCTTCAAGGACTAAGCTGGACTGGCTTAGACTAGACTAAACTGGACTAACTTAGTGAAGCGTTTGGTGCAGTATTGGACTAAGAAGTTGGATAATAACAAATTATAATATTATATTATTTAATATATAAATTATTAATATTTTATTATGATCTTATCTTTTTCTTCATTTTTTCCTACCATTTCCTTGTTAAATTGGATAAAGTTAGCACCGCCAAAAAATTCATCACCATCCCTGGACCGAGATCTTAGCTTTGAATGCTCGAATCTGTCATGGATTTGAAGAAGCCCAAACAGGCCGAGACTTCCAGGCCATTTTCCAGCCACATTCGACCACATTTTGGCCTCGATTCAGGTAAAATCGTAATCTTGTCACTCCCAGCTTCAATTTGGTATATTTTGTATGAAAGTTGGTTGTGAAATGGATCTGAAAGAGAGTCGGAAAGTTAATGATTGATCTAGGTGACCGGAGATGACGAGGAGTCTGTCGAGAGTGGTCGTTGAGCATGACGAGGACGAGAAAGAGAGGATAGTCTTAGCTAGTCCCATAGTTATTGGGGGGTCTCGCTAAGACATCTTAGTGAAGGGTTTTGTCCATGCTAGTCCCCTTTAGTCTCATTAATGTTAGTCCCAACATGGAACAAACACAGTATTGGACTAATAGCTAGTCCAGTCCAGTCCAACTTAGTGAGGGCAAACAAACGCCCCTTAGTTTACAACCCCATTTCAATGTCCTCCAAAGATTAGTCAAAAAGATATAAAGAACAAAAAAAAAAAGATGAATGCTTTGAACTTAGTGGATGGTGGGTCCCAACTGCAATAATCTACCCTGCAACCCAAACCAGAGAATCAAAACCTTCACTAGCCAGTACCTTGCAGTTCCTTCCCTCCACCTTCACCGCTCTTTGCTTTGCAAATTACAATCACAAATTACAAAACCGTTTCCAAATACCGAATACCAAGTGCCACAGGAACCGAAAGCTTGCAACTTTAATCTGAGAACTGATTTTTGAGGAAGCAACAATGGCGGACTGGGGCCCAGTATTGATAGGAGTGGTGCTGTTTATCCTGCTGCAACCGGGGCTGCTCTTCTCGTTCCCGGGAAACAGCAAGCAGTTGGAGTTTGGGCGCATGAAGACCAACGGCAAGGCCATCGCTGTCCACACTCTCTTCTTCTTCGTTCTCTATGCCATTCTCATCCTGGTCGTCCACGTCCACATCTATACCGGCTGATCCCGTTACCCTCCGCCGCTCTGGATCTCTGTGTATGTTGGTCTGTCTCTCTTCTGGGCTGCCCTGTTGTAACTTAATACTTGTACTATTTGTCTTTGAGCTCCATATAAATAAAAAGCAGAAAACTTTTCTCTGATTTGGAGAAGAAGAGATGCAGCTGCTTGCTTATGGATTCTATTTACCAATTAATATTGATGCAATTTAATTAGATTTTCCTATTTTTCTGTTTGTTAACTGTTCTAGAGCATTGGTCTGAACTTGTTGACTTGATTGTAGCCAAGTTCAACTTAAAGTTCAAATCCTTCCCCTCGTGGATTAGATTTAGATTAGATTAGAATATCGCTCGAACTTAAATGAGCCAACTAGTGTGGTGGTCTGAACTATTTCTGTAGCTACTCTTTAGCTAGTAGCTGATATGCGAAATTTGAGAGTCGATCTGTTCCCTCTTAGGCGCTTCATTTTGTTAAGCTTCAGATTGCGCTGATGGAAACTGGAGGCTTTTAGAGAATTGTTATTGGCACTTCAAAAATCTCATTTTACATTCCGAACTTTCTATATTTGGAAAGAAAAATACACTTGTGAGAAGTGTAGAATAAGATTTTTAGAGTACCAATAACACTTCACGATTTTTATCTAGAAATTTCACCCTTAGAATGCGTAGATGACAACAATACTCGTTAAAATTGCAAGTCAATTCCATTAAGTTTAGGTTTATTACAATTTACATGATACGTTCCCGGTTTCCCCCCTTTGAGTGTGTATGATACTATAAAACTTAAACATAATGGATCGAATACTTAGTCAGAGATTAAACTCAGATATGAAACATTAAACTAGGAACACAGTATAAGGGAAGAAGAAAAGCCGAATAAGGAGTTTGCTTACAAAATATGAAAGTATATTGCGATATCAAAAGGTGGCTGAAAACAATATAGATTAGTTGACATGTATGTGAATACCAATTGCAATGACCAAGATGGTGATTATGCAGAAGTATATGACGGCGTGAACAAGAATAGCAATTCCACTTGTGGACATGTTTCCGAACTCCATCACCCTAGTCCTTGCCGGTAATTGGAATAGCAGCCCGGGCGACAAGAGGATGAACATAACCACCGCAACAACAACCGGCCCCCAATCAGCACTCATCTTTCTCTCCAGGTAAGTTTGAATGGAGGGGTAAGAAAACTTAGAGGCCTCTATCTTTGGAAATAGATAAACAGAGTGTGATGTTTCCGAATATGTAGAAGGACGAAACCTGAAGGAGAGGTAAGAAAACTTAGAGGCTTCTATCTTTGGAAATAGATAAACAGAGTGTTGTGATGTTTCCGAATATGTAGAAGGACCGGAACCTAATATCTTAGCGAAGAAGGAGAGAGGGATGCTAAACTTAAGTGAGAAAGAAGAGAGTGAGATTAAAAGAGGAGAAAGGTATTAGGAGAAGGTGGTGGATGGCTTTGTGGACATCAAAGCAAAGATGTTTGCTTTCATAAGCTTCCAATAATTGTTCGTTTAAGAAACTCTTTTTTTGCTTTCTCTTTTAGGGATCGATGAAGGTGGAGTGTCTTTACAGAAATGTGGGGAAATGAAGTGTAAAGTTGTAGTTGGGGTATGCATATGTTTGGAATGCTTTTCTTGTGTGGTTTAACTTTCTACAGGAAAGGGAAAGACATTGATTTTGGCCGGTTTCTACAGGGAAAAGTTACAATGCATACAGAAACACGTATGCTACTTGATTGGCTGCGGTCGATGAAGAAATAGACGGAATTGCTTAGATCGTCCGGTGGTGTCTCACGGTGACGTATGTGGTAAATATAAATCATACTCAAGTGGTGGAGCTTGGTATCAATGTTGATCAAAATCGAGATTTTCATCCAAAAGTTGCACATGGGTTCTCGGTTTTGACCAATATTGGTAACAGACTTATCATATGAAGAAATTTTTAGTTATGACGAGAATACGGATAATACAACATATGTTTTTATGCAAGTGGTGAAATTTTTTAATTTTTAAGTTATTAACCTTTTAACACGCATAACCCACCACTTATATAAGGACATGTGCAATGGCGGAGCCACTGAGAAGGCTAAGGTGGGCTATAGCCCAGGAAGGTTTTCTGTAAGGGTAGTGCTATTCATGCACTCCATTGAAGATGGTCAATGACAAAAAATTAATAAGGGTGTGTTGAAGGTAAAAATGAGTTTAAATAACACTATTCTTTTGTAATCTCATGCTTATAGGCCATTCAATTTCAATACAGGTTATTATTTAATGTAAATTTAGCAGAGGATAGGTAATAAATAATAAGTTTGGGGTGTGTTATCTACACATCCCTTTTTACTTCTTACACACCCTCTTAATTTTCGGTCATCGGATCAAATGAATTGAGGAAGATCAAAGGATATAAATTAATGAGGGGTGTGTGAGAAGTAAAAAAAGGTCCCCATAAGTTTTATGCCAAAAATTATAAATTAGTTCTATCTCTCGTCCCCCTTTATCCTATTTGTAAAAGAAAAAGACCATTTACCCTATACGATTTAGCCTCTGTGCTTCTCAATCAAGAAAAGAAAAATAATTTTTTTAAATGCACAAGTAAATCCCTATGTCCGCAATTCCTTACTTTCCGTTGCGATTTTCCAATGAAGTCATTTTTGGTAGGTTCTTAATCTCTTTATTTACTTATTCTTGATTTAATTAATAGGTTAATTATTTATATTGTCCTTGAATATATTGGCTACGTTATGATTTTGAGAATAATTTATATTCTATTGTTGGTTCTTTTATATTGATTACTATATAATATTTATATAAGCAAAAAAATTAAACGTATGATTTTATAGCACTAATTTCCGTTAGTCCACCCAAGAAAAAAATCATGGCTCCGCCTTTGGACATATGGTGTATCATCTTGTGTGACGGTCACATTGAAAAATCTCTTCATCACATGGGCTTGATTAACGTTTTTTAACCACATGGGGCTCACTTTACGAGAAGATATCCGCCGGGATGATTGGATAGGGCAGCTCTCACGCAGAGTGAACATTTTGGAGGCAAAAAAAATAAGTGAATTTGTGTCTGCTTATGTTATGATCACAATTCAATTTACTTCATTGGGCCTGTGTTTAGGCCCAGGAATAAGTGAATTTGCGTAAGAAACAAGGCTCAAGATCAAATGACGGCCGTCCGTATTTTATAAAAGGAATGAGGATCTTCTTTGTAAGAGTCCTGGAGATTCTCTAATTATGTTTATTGATCGTATATCGTGTGATCATTTTTTGTAAGTACTAGTTATATTTAATTTTAAATTAAAAATTTTACAATGATTTTTTTATCTTACGATGTACGATGAACAAACAGAAGTGAAGAATTTTCAATATTCTCACAAAGAGGATTCAGAGAGGTTCCTCGTTCTTTCTTTCAAAGGTTCAAACAAAAGTGCCACGTAATGCTTCACATGCTGTCCAATGCGGCAAACGAGGAAGCTGTCCGTCCGAGTCCAAAGATACTGCCGTCTGCTGATTTCAAAGTTTCTAACCCTTCGCTTCGTCGTGGAGGCCGGATCACTCTACTTATTTGTCTCCGTTAATTCCCATTTTGTCCCTTTCCCGCCATCACTCTCTCCTTTTATGCTCCTTCCTTCTCATTGCCCCCTTCATTTCCACTTCCATCGTACGAGTCATCATCTTCTTTATTATTGTATCTGCTCGGAAACTCGACCTTACTGTGAAATTAGTTAGTTGAGGAATGGCGGATTGGGGGCCCGTGGTGATAGCGGTGGTGCTGTTCGTGTTGTTGACGCCGGGGCTTCTGTTTCAGCTGCCCGGGAACAGCCGGGTGGTGGAGTTCAACAACATGCAGACGAGCGGGATTTCCATCTTGGTTCACACAATCATTTACTTCGGACTCATCACCATATTCCTCATCGCTATCGGCGTTCACATCTACTTGGGCTAGCTATGCATGCTATCCATCTGCAACATTTACGTTGTCTTGATCCGCCGAAACATTAATTGTTTTGTGATTTTAGAGTTCATTGTGTTCGATTAATTTTATAAACATCTGTTGTCTATGAAATTAATTGCCTGTTAATTTGGTCCCAAATTATAACAAAAAAACAGAGATTCACTTCAATTCGGTCCAATCTGGGCTCCGCCTTGCTTGACTCGTGTAGCTGCAGATCTTACTAGGAGAGGTATGGTCGCGGGCGGTCTTGCCTAGCGCATCCTAATCCCAAGCTATGGAGATAGTCAATCGGTTGATTTTTTCGGATTAGTTAGTTTTGGTTCGTGTAGATTTGTTGTTTGTGCCACTTTTTAGAGGGTGTTGTGTTGCCTAAAGAGTTATGTGGCCTTGCCTATCGACGATGACTTTGACATGGTTTCACTATTCGGCAAGGACATCATGTGCTCTTCGGTACAAGCCGTTTTTTGTGACAGATTTGTATTGATAGTGACTGTTGTAATCGCGTAAGGATTGATTCACTACGGTTGTTTATGAAAATTATCTACATACCAATGCATTGGTGACTGAAATCTTAATCATAAACCCTAATAAGTCCATACGTTATATCGTCTTTTGTTGATCGATGAAATGTCCCTATCCTTTCCCTTCTCTTCATAAAATTCAATTCAATCGGGCTTAGATATTGAGCTGGGCCATACAATTCTCATTAATTTTGCTTCGTATTCTCAGGGGAGCATTTATCTCACCACTAATAACTTTGACAGATGCTCACCGTCCTCCTACAAACCTGTCACATGTCATTTTCTTTAACCTCAATTAATAATCTCTTAAACTTAATGAGGACGGAGAAAACCATTTAATGTTCAAAAAAAAAAAAAAAAAATCAAACTGTTATTAGCACATCAAAAATTTCATTCTACACTTCTCATAAATATATTTTTCTTTCTAATTATAGAAAGTTTAGAATACACAATGAGATTTTTAGAATGTTAATAATAATTTCCTAAAAAAAAAAAAATGTGTGTTCCTTTTTCTCCAACTCAGTAGCCATGGCTGCTTCATACCATCATCTTCTTCCTCTTCCGTGAACCACGAACCATCATCTTCTTCATCTTCCCGGGGAAAAATGAGTTTTGAAATTTTTATGGGATTCAAGAGTATGTAGAAAGTCGAAACTGTCAAAGCAGCGGATTTTGAAAAGACTCTGGCTCTTCTCAGAATGCGAAGACTCAGCCCCAAGATCTTCAGCCTCTTCCATCTCTTCACTGCCTTTTATCTGCCTTAGGTCTCTTTTTGCTCCCTCATACTCAAACCGCCAAATCATTTGTTCACTAATGCACTCAAACCACCAAACCATTTTTGTAGTAATGGCAAACAGGTGGCTGCCACCGGCGAGGTATGTAATTGGATTCGAGAACTGTTTATATTTTATATTTTAATGAATTTTAACAAAAAGTTTTTGATACTGTATATTTTAACATTAAAAAATCAATCATAGTAATATTTACTTTACTGTTTATTTTATCGTTATAGTTAAAACTCAAAATTTTCAAATCATTTTTATTAATTTTTTTTATATTTTAAAATATTTTTAACTATAATTAAAGAAAATGACATGTGACAAGCTCGCAAGAGGACAATGAATTTCCCGCAAAATTTAACGGTGGTGGGCAAAAATGGTCATATTCTTAGTAACCCAACAGCCAAACACAAGAGACAGGTGGGTTTTTATTCTTTATTTTTTTCAGTTGTACCTACTGCGGACAGGTTGCACTTTCCAACACTATGATTAAAGAAAATGACGAGTGACAAGCTGTTAGGAAGGCGATGAACATCCCTCAAAATTTATTGGTGGTGGACAAAAATGGTCAAATTCTCATACCCAACAGCCAAGAGGGGGATTGTCTGTTCTTATATTTTTATATTTTTTTTATGTCTTTTTGTGATATGTAATTACGGTTAAATCATATTAATTTTTTATAAAAATAATAAAATATAAAATAATAAGAATATAAAATATTGACGTGACTTAATCGTGATCACACAAACAAACGAGCATGAGAAGACTATAGAAATGGAGGACAGACAATCTACCTCTAACAGCCAAACACATGAGACAGGTGGGTTTTTATTCTTTATTTTTTTAGTTGGACCTGCTGCAAAGAGGTTGCACTTTCCAACGCATTCAGTCCATCTTATTGGTTGATCTTTTATGTTTTGGACTAAGAGTACGATGTATTTCGTCCGAAAAAGAAAAAAAAGTACGATGCATCCTTTTGTTTTATTTTTAGGAATTTTAACGAGAAGTTTTTGTTACTGTTTATATTAATAAAAAATTATATTTTTACATTAAAAAATCAATCTTAGTACTATTCATTTTACCCTTTATTTTATCATTATCATTAAAACTCAAAATTTTCAAGTCATTTTTATTAGTTTTCCTTTATTTTTAATCAAATGATCCATATAGCTTCTTGGATTGTTTTTTGTTCTTTTGCATTTAGATCAATGGTTAGGAAATTAACAATAATTCTTTTAATTTAAGGAAGGGAATTATTATTAACATTCTAAAAATCTCATTTAGCATTTCAACATTTCTATAATTAGAAGGAAAAATACACTTATAAGGAGTGTAGAATATAATTTTTGGAATGCTAATAACAGTTCCTTTAAGGAATTGTTATTTGCATTTTAAAAATCTTATTTTGTATTCTAAACTTTCTATAATTAAAAAGAAAAATATACTTGCAAAAAGTTGTATAATAAGATTTTAAGAGTGCTAATAACAATTCTTTTAATTTATTACGCTTATGTTTAAAAGTTTACTATATTTATTGGAGTCAATATTATTTTGGGGACCAAAATATTCCCTTTAACTCCTTAAAGAATCTTGGGAGTGGTGGTAGGGACCTTAAAATGAGGTTCTTCGTTGGAGATGCTGTTATATCTCGTTCAAAATTGTGATGTTAGAAATACTAATTTTTTAAGTTTAATAGTGGACTAAGCACATTTTTTATACCATAGTTGTACCACATATTTAATAATGATAAGACTCATCAATATATATGAGTTTTATTTATATTTTATAGGTTTTTTTAATTAAAAACTATATTTTATAAGCAACATCACGTGGTGATTTATGGTAAATTTTATTTCTTTTTAAACCATATTTCTTTAAACCACGAAAACAAAACTTAACTATAAATCAAAGGAAAACTAACAAAACTTAACTATAAATCAAAGGAAAACTAACGAAAAAATCTTTAAAAACTTTAATTTTAATCAAAATGACAAAATAAAGGTGTAAATGAATAGTAGTATAAGTAACTTTTTAAGCTAAAAATATCCTTAACGTTAAAAGTGAACAGTATCAAAAGTGTTTCATTAAAATTCCCAACCAAAGAAAAACATAAAAATTAAATACTGTGGCCCTACATACAAATTCAAGTCGGGATCCCGTTCATACACGATATATTATACAACACGGAGAGGCGAGGTCCACTCTGCCGTACAATTTCAGTTCTCAAAGACATATGTCCCCAGAGTTGGTAGACGTGTCACCTCGCCTTATTGCCACGTATACAATATAGTACATAAGTTGCCCACACCCTAGAAAGTAGTCAAAACAAACGAAGCATGGTGGCCGGAACATCGTCGTCGCTGCTGCAGTTGTTGTTGTTGTTGGAGGTGATGGTGGTGTTATTAGCGGTGGAAGTGTTCTGCTGAGCCGGTTCCTCGTCGGCAGCTCGGTCCCTGATCTGCTGCTCCTTTGCTGCAATCTGAAAAATTAAAGGCCATCAAGTGACTAAGTACTTGTTAATTTCTTTACTTGCTTTTCTATCACAATTTCTTCCTTAATTTCTGCAATATCTCAACGAAATATATAATTATATGTGGTTATATACCTCATTTTCCATGAGAAGCTTCTCTTCTTTCAGCTGTTTTTCCTGTTCAGATTTAGTGCCATGCATAATCCACCAAATTCAAATAAAAACTCTCTCAAAATATCTCGACAAATATTTACGCCAACATATCAGTGGCACCAAATTATAAATTCAGTTGATAGCATATATATATGCGGCACCAGCAGAAACTCAGACATCAGACAACTGGGAATATAAGAAAATGGTGAAGTGTCGTTTTAGTCTCTGAATAATTAGGTCATTGAATTATTTTCTCAGTAAAATAAGTTCTTAAATTCATTAGAAATTGCTAATTTCATCCCTACTATTATATTCAGAGTTATTTTATCTAATTTTCATCAACTTAAGTCACTTGATACACTTCAGAATATAATATCATCATTTTCTTGTCTAATAGCCCTTAACATTTCATATAAGTTGCGAATTTATGTCTAATTTACCCTCAAAAGTTAACTTACACTATTTATTTATGAAAAACTACCAATTTATCCTTCAAATTAACTTCATACATAATTTCTTTATAAAAAAAAACTACCAATCTACCATTCAATGTGTATCACATACAAGTAACGTGACTTAAATTGATGGAAAATTGAATATAGTACTTTCGAATATAACATTAGGGATGTAATTGGCAGATTTTTATAATTTAGAGACTAAATTGGCAATTTATCCTAAGAAAAATATTAGTAAACCAATGTAGTAGATCTTAATTTACACTTCCCCCTCCCCTTCTCCCAAACCACAAAAAAATGCAGCAACAAAAATGCAAGCCCCTGCACGAATTGTGAGTTCGAGGGAGGGCATATCCACAGTACACATAGACCGCTCATCGGCACATGTGTAACGTGGATATGCCCTCGAACAGATTGCAATTGGCACTCCCATTAACTAGAATTGCAAATACAAGACTGTACTAGTATACCAAAACTGCACAGTAAAACCCCCACCCCTTCAATCTCCACTTAAACAAAGCATATATCTTGGTAATTAATGACAACACTCTTCAAACAGAAAACACTTTCTGTTCAAAGTTGAAGGTTGATGATGCCATAGATAGAATGTATACCTGCTCGATAAGAGCTGTAAGGGTTTCCATCATCAGCTGTGTCTGCATTATCAATAGCACTCAAGTGAGTTTTTACCACCAATCTATTAGACTGTACATCCAATACACAACGCAAATTATATAAACGCTTCATGTATCTGTTACTACTGTGTTTATTTCAATGATAGTCAAGTGACTCGAACCCTTGTTTTCTTTTCTTCGTAATCCTAGTTGTTTATGGGACAGGAACAGGGCACCATCTAAAAAGAACCACTCAAGTATACAAGCATTTACATTTTACAGACCAAAATTAGGACGGCCAAATTGTTCTCTGCCATTTATTCAGAATTTATTTTAGTGCACATATCTGTTGGTCTCTGGAATTACTGAAATTATCAAATATCACTAAACTTCTGTCATAAAATTGCAGTTCAAAGGATGAATCATATATTTTGTGGTTTAAATTTCACCCAAAACCTGAAGAAATACCTTGATATCATGGAAACAACAGAAATTAATACTATTCAAAGGATTTACCAACTTCCAAAACTCAGGGACAAAAACATAACAAAAGAGAACAGACATTTCAAACATTATTGATCATCAATGCAATCCCAGCTAGAAAAGGAAACTATATATGCAGGTCTATATTCCGAAAAATAGGTACTGTACTTAATTGAAATGCAGGTTTATATTCCGATTCCAGAAACTATACATGCAGGTTTATATTCCGAAAAGAGGTACTTAATTGAAATGCAGGTTTATATTCCAAAACCAGAAACTATATATGCAGGTTTATATCCGAAACCAGTCTAAGTGAAACCGTAATGCTATTTTTAGGTTCTTTTTCCATGAGCTGTCACAGTAAACCAGAATATGAACTAGTTAACGATGGTCTAAGAATAAAAGAAGATTAATAAACCTTTCTTGATCTTGTTTGTCTTAAAACTGCATCCAATTCCTCCTCAAGCTTGGTTAGCTCTGGAACATCTAGATTATCAATGTCTTGTGCTTCTATATCACTGCATAAAGGTAATCAGATCCCAGTCACACGGGTGAAATGTAATGAAGCTTCTGTACATGATACTTACCTTTGAATCATTTTCAGAGATTGGCTAGCGCCTGTACGGAGACCACTGCATTCCAAATTATGCTTCTGCACCCGAGATTAGCAGAACGTGAGAAGAAACGATATGGTAAATGATAAACTTCTGTTCTTGTCCAGAGAACGTAGGCTGAAAGTATTGCTACTAGTGTTTGTAATTTTGACAGTGATACAAAACTTTTAAGTCCTACCAAATACACTAAATTGGTTGAGCTGTGATTTCAGTACCTTCTTTCACAATCAACTTGGCCAACCTTTGATTCAGGAACAACAGATATTGGATCCTCAACCTCTTTCATAATACAAGTGCAACTTGGTCAAAGGTGGGCCAAGTTCCTCTCACTTCATAAAAGAAGTCGAGCACCACCCATCACCAAATTAGTTTCTTATAAGCCTTTGCCAAGTTCCCTTACTTTCTAATATGAACAACTTTCACATATCCTCACATGCCTCGTCTGGAGGCAGTCAAGCCAATCATGTGGACAACACACATCATGTGGCTCGGAGCACGTGTTATCTTAGGGCTTTACATGTGAGCCAAGTTGGATTCCCGAAATTGGGCTACAACGACAAGGGCTTTACATGTGAGCCAAGTTGAGCATCACTGAGCTCGATAACTTGGTGGATTAACATATAGGATTTTTCAATACTCTAATCCTGTTAATTTTGTGCAGGGTAAAACGCTTGACTAACCTTGTCAGTACCACCAGCATTCTTGGAAGCAGCAATTTCCTCAGCATTATGTTGCTGGTAACGCTCCAGAAGCTTTGCAAAACTGAAGCAGCAAAGGGTCACAAGAAAAATATATATATACATATATATCAGAAGCAAGTTTATTTTATGCATTGATTAATTTGAAAGAAATAAATACACTTACAGTAGAAGGGATGCCATTTATATGCACATAATTCATCCAATTGAAATAAAAACATCTAGTGCTAGTGATTAACAGTAAATTAAGAAATGTGGAATTTCATGATTAAGACTAATTGACAAGAAGCGTGGATAAACCCCACCCCACCCCAAACCCCATATAGAAAAGAGGCTTAGGGCATGCATAAGGGAGTTGTTGGAGATGTTGAGTCAACTAGCTTTTGACATTATTCACTAGCTAGTTTAGCAAAAACTTAGAAAATAGTAAGGAGTGGACCCCTTTTGGAGATTAAAGCCTCAAATGGAATCCACTCCTTATTCATGTTCACACTTTAATGATTCTTTAACTAAAAAAATACAGAAAATCATCATCGGCTGACCATTCCTAATAATGAAGTCTTTGCATGTGAGATTTACAATTAGAGTAATGCCTTCTAGACCATCAATTTAAACCATATATTCTAAATCATTACGTGGTATTGATGATTAGATTATTACTCAAGTGTTGATTTATGTGCTTATTTTTTATTGGTGACAAATCACATTGTTTGCTAACATGCTTAAGTTTCAAGGGATTTGGAATAGATAGAAATAGGCTACGTAATATCAGTTTGAGGAATTTGAAATACACTACATGATCGTTATAAAGATAAATAAGTATTAACAAATTCCTCATATGATGTAACCATTTGTAAGTATAAATGCATAACATGGTCATTACAAAGACATGTGTGCTGGATTGTTCATGAATCCTTCTGAAAGTGATTTGCAAATCACGAAATGTATTTCAAATCCTCTAACATCTCACATTTTGTAGTCCATCTGTTAGTAATTTGGCTTCAATCCCTTGAAATTTACCAGTTCCTCACCGAAACATAACCTTAGTGCATTGTCTCTAATTCATTCATCCCTAATCCAAACATAACCTAACTCAGAGTCTTTACTTGGCGGGCTTGCAGCTATCGCAATTCAAAATGTCATTTGCAATTGAAAAGCTAGCTCCTTCGTGGTCCAAAAGCATTGAACTCCAAAATCTAATTTGCCGTGAAGTCAGCCCGAATCTCAAGCGTTGCTTAAGGGTACGATTTCCATTTGTTGCGAGAAAGCTGGTGAATGAGTTCGACCACCAACATTCACATTTGTGGAAAACCAATTGGAAATGGGAGGGTAGGGGCTTAGACCATTTAAAAAATCAAGACAAAGCTTCCTTTTTTATTGTAGAAAAACTCAAAACACGGCTCATCACATGTAGGGATGAAGAGTCTTAACACGTAAAAAACGTATTAAGTGATGATTAAACATAAAAATAGCATACTCCGTCACCGTATTAGAATGTAAGTTTTCAATCTAAATCAATTGTCAAGAGCAAAAAGACACAAGATCAATAAACAAAGAAGATAAAGCTTTTTTTCATCATGGTGGGTCAACTCTCCAACACATGTCCATATTTGCTTCTAATTTAGCCATGTTCCAAATGGATATGGAATTTTAACATTTGGGCTCGACATTTGTGTGTGTCCTTGTTGAGTATATCTCACATTGGATATGGAAGTTTGGCATTAAGTATTAAAAGGTCTCTTGGACCTCTTTGTGATTGCTAATTGTATTTTAGATGCTTATATTATAACTTAGTAGGTTAAGCACATGTTAGGCCCAACATACACACTTTTTAGGCTAAGGACATATTAGGCCCAACATAAACAGTTGTTAGGCTAAGGATATGTTAGGCCCAACATAAACACTTGTTCCCAAGCAAGTGGTAGATTGTGGCATGCTTAGAGTATCTTTTGCGTTAAGTGCTCAAACTTGGCGTTTCCACGTATTTCCAATTGAGTTTGCATTGAGTAGTCATAATCTAACATGGTATCAAAGCTAAATTTAATAGATATCCTTGAATTGAAACATAATAGAAACAATAGGGACCCAACTTGAAGAAAATTGAAACTAAAAGGGTAGAAGTAAAATTTTGTGCAAATTACATGGACTAGTTGTAGTTTGTCATAGAAAGAAAGGTATTTTGTTTCCCTAAGGGTGGATGTTGACCTCAATGAGTTGGAAGAATCTATAGAGATCAATTTTAGCTTTGTCCAAGGATTGGAAAGAGGAAATGAGCTTCATGGCCCTATGTGTTTGAGTCTTTTTTTCTACTCTCTCAATCCTTTATCAACTTGTCTTTTCATACACTTTCTTTAGTTTATATTCTCGTTGTAGCCTTAAAGTTGTCCTACTGATCTTATGATCTTATCCAATACTTTTATGCAAATGAAAAATCCTAAGGGCTGCTTTCCCTCTCTTGATTTTGAGACCTATATATTATAGACATTTTCGTTTTGAGTGTCCAAGTAAGACACTGCCTACAGAGCCTAAACATGTAACTGTTAAGGATTTGTTTAGTGGGCTGGATGAGATTAGGCATTAGAATAGGATTGGATTGATAGAGATTGGTTAGGCAAGACTTGTGACTCGTGTATAGAGATAAATTGGATAACTCACTTTATTGTGGATTCATAACCTATCATATCTAGTTATATTCATCTCATACTCTGACACAACAAAGAACAGACTATAATCAAGTCCATTTTAATTGATCACAACGTATCTCAATCAGCCCACCAAACAAGCCTAAGGATATATAATCCTTCGACCCCAAGTTATGGAAAAGCCAAATAGATGAACGTAGAAAAACGACATTTTTTTAGGTATTCACCATTCCATGCATATGGTAGATCCCCAAGAAGGTTTAAATGAGTGACATTTACGATTTTACTCTCAGTGTGCATGCCATGACTATTTCGGCTACACTTTAAGATGGATGGTCAAGGATGAAACTTGATTAAGGGGGCCTTATCCCTATACTGCACCACTAGAGATAAACATCAAATCTAAACTGCACATTGCAGTTGGAATGCATGTTTTGGAAGTGTTTTAGGAATAGTTTCAAGCCCTTTAAGATAACAAACGAAGTTTCGTCAATGTTTAATATGAAGAGCTAATGCGTCTATACTGTAAAAGCATTTCTAAGTAGCAAGTGTTTCTTCAAGAGTTTTAAGCGCTTATTTTAAGAAGTACTTGTATTTATTAGAGCTTTTGATTTGCATCTAATAAAAGTGTTTATGAGCAAAAGTACTTTCTAGATGAACATTTTTAAGAGACCCTAAGTTTGAGACAAAAATAATGTAACATAAATAGGCCAAATGATGTGCAGGACGTGGTATGCAATTGATTACTGTGAGACTGTGAAGCATCGTCTCCCTATCATAAAGTTAAAAGGCCTTGCAAGTGCTTAGAAGGAGTTGGGTTATTCTCCCTATTTCTTTTTTTGTATCAAATCACTTTGGCAGAACATATTTAAGATGATATTTCTTAGTGTATACTTTTCACAGATGATATCAGTGTTGACAGTTGAAATGCATGAGGAAGTAAATGCAAAGATTAACCTTTGGCGGAAGGTGATGAAATATAAAGGTCTTCGCCTAAATAGGACAAGGACATAATATATGGAGTGCAAGTTTAGTGGAAATGGGATCTAAATGAGATATGGATGAGGATTGGAGATTAGAAAGTACCTAAGACTGAACACTTTTGTTACCTTTGATCTATCTTGCAAAAGAACGTAGAATTAGATGGAGATCTCAATCATAGAACACAAGCTGGATGAATGAAACGGAATAATGCATCAGGTGTGTTGTGAGGTCGTCGTATGCAACTAAAGCTTAAGGGAAAATTTTATAGGATGACAATAAGGCTAGCAATACTTTATAGCACATAATGTTGGGCGATCAAGCATCATCACGTGCAAAGATGAGTGTAGCAGCAATAAAAATGCTTCGTTGGAAGTGTGGGCTCACGAGAAAGGATCGGATTAAGAACGAGGATATCCGAGATAAAGTAGGAGGGCCGCAATTGAAGATAACATTAGAGAACATCGATTAAGGTACTTTGGACATGTGAACTAAAAACCTACATATGCTCCTGTTAGAGTGCGATTATGAGATGTAGGTTCAGGGCAAAAGAAACAGAGGAAGACCTAGGAAGACTTGAAAATAGACTTAAAAAACATGGAATACTGAGCTAATAGAAGATTTGGGACAAAACCGAGCATAGTGGTATTCTAGGATTCATACAACAAACCTCACTTAGTGGATAAGGCTATGTTGTTGTAACAAAGCACTTTGGCTCACGTGTGAATTCAAACGGTCATACATGCTTCACATTGGCTAATATGTGTTGTCAACAGCCATATGTGTTTCACGCATATTGCTAATGTATTTCGTACGAGCGTAGGCATATGTAATGAAACGTGTGACGTTGTGAAGAATTATCCCACACAGGGATATGTAAAAACCTTGTTTCTTACATAGGTTTATAAGGAATTGAGCTACTTCCATTTTGAGGTGGAACCTCAACTTCTTTCATAGTATTAAAGCAAGTTGGCCATGTGTGAAACCTCACAGTTGGCCATGCTCCATGTCACTAGTTACATTGTCTACCTGTAAGCTTGAAAATTCACCTAGAACACCAATGAGTGTGTGAAGAGGTGAGTTATTCCTCTATTACTAGTTGTTTTGGAATGGATATTCACCTTCTACAATAGTTTTGGATTGCAAAAGCTAAGTTACTTCTTTGAAAATAAATGTCAAAAACTCGAATATATCATGTCATTTTTGTTTAACTTGAAGTCAGATGGTAAACCATGAGATATGAGGTCAACCTAGGACTCTAACTATGTGAGCGGATTATCATATTGTTTATACCCGATTTTACAATGTTGGCCCATATGTTTGCAGCGGTTAGACTAAAAGATCAAGATGATTTTGAATACCTTTTCTAGATATTATTATGGTTTTAATAATCATAATATTGTCCAAGGTGTTCTAGGAAATTCTCTTGAAAATGCTTGAGAGTAGGGATAATTAAGGAGTCGAATATTTCATGCGATAAAGACTCATCTTGAGGTCACGGCTAGATATGCGTTGAATGCGATTATCTCTAATAATATGGAGATAATCAAGTACAAGGTTTGGACTTGATCATGAGTTAAAAAGAACAGATTATCCATGAGAAAATTGAAGATATTCTCAAGTATATCAAGGTAATATTTCAAGGAGTTACAATTTTATCAGACTCTATAGTATTAGTACAACTTGAATATCAAGCAATTTATGCCCACAAATACAAGTCTGTGGACAAAAAAGAAAAGGACCTTCAACTTAACACACAAATCAATGCTCTATGCGAAATCTTTTCACACCCTTTTGTGAAATTGACTTACTAACCGCCAACACAATCTTCAGTTGGATAGACAGGTTTGGGTTGGCAACTGACGGACGACGATTTACTGGATAGACGGGGGTTTTCAGAAGTAACTAGTATAGATGACAGACTGGATAAACAAGGTCCAAATTCATAAAGTAATTTTGTCTTAAGAGTTTTGACTGACTAGATAGACAAGGACTATCTCAAGTCTGGGCTGACTTTTTATCTTAAGTCTTGGCCAACGAACAATTTTTTTCTCTTTCGCCGAAAAAGATCACTTCATCAGCCTTTTTGGCAAAGTGATGTGTACTATGATTGCTTACTCTTAGGTTACATTAAAGTTCGGCACACAGACAGTCGAACCATCTTTACAATTAAGGGACTCATCTTCTTCGAGTATCTTTGTTCATACAGTTTGACACCGATTCAACCAACCTATATTTTTACCAATATAGTTGAGGCCGCCAAACCCAGTGCACAAGATCAAAACTTCATAGTGATTTGCATAACCTTCTCTTCAGGTTTTAGAACTCAAGGCCAAGAGTGTTCTGTCTTTGGCCGGAGTCGTCCGATTCAGAAGTTTGCAGCACATTCCATTTCATCATGACATTCAAGATACTTGCTGGCTGAACTTGGCAGCAAGATGGCACACCCGCATCATCATTTAAGCCACCAAATGACGTAGTTGGCTCCTAGTTATTTGGCTTACATGCCATGTAGACTTTGTAATTTTTAAAATCAACATTTTGGTATGCTTGGTTGCACCTTTGTGCAAATATGTGAAGCCCATATGATATTTCAATATTCCAATCCATCTCATTTCAGCCAATTGGATGAGACTCAAGCTCAACTAGAGAAGCTCATTCAAAAAAGAGAGGAGGATAAAAGGAATAGAAGGTGAAGAAGATTCTTGATCTACATAAGAGATGAGAAAATTCTTTTCCCAAATGTTGAAAGTGAAAGCTCATGTAACCTTCAAGAACAATGGCTAGATGAGAAAGGCTTCCCTTTTATTCCAATGTACTAATTAATTCCATTTAAAGTATGGTTAGATCAAAGGGTCAAAGAGGGGGCTAATGGGTGGGGGCAAATTCTCACTCTGGCCATAATCAAGCCTTTGCCTGAGAGGATTGTTTATTTGACTCGCGAAGAAGCCAATCCACCTATTCTTTGAGTTAAGACTAAAAATTTGGTTGGCCTAGAAGAAAAAGTTGGAGTTTCTAAGACAATTATAAAGATTGACTCGGGAGGTGATTGTCGAGGGAATGTTCCAATGACAAAGAAGGCCGAAACACGGTCTCCAAAGTAAAAACCACATCAATTGATATGTTTATTGAACATACCGCCGATATGGAGAAATCTCATAGTTAAGGCTGCCAAACTTGGTGCACAGGTTCAGAACTTCATAGTGATTTGCATAACCTTGTCTTTGGTTCTAGAACTGAAGGTCAAGACTATTCCTTCTTTGGCAGGAGTTACTAGATTCAGAAGTTGGCAGTGCATTCCATTACATCACCACATTCAAGTTATTTGCCTGGCCAAGCTTGGTGGCAAATTGGCACGCCCACATCAGCACTTAAACCATCAAAGAACATAATTAACTCCTAGTTACTTGGCATGCGCTCCACGTAGATTTTGTAATTTTTACATTTAACACATACACATATTTTATTTAGATGCATGTTGAACTTATTTAAATATTTATTGTATTTTATATAAGTACATACTTTTAAGTCTTTAACCATCTTAACGTTCTCTCATATGAGTACTAGATTTAAATTTAAATTTTTTTTATAGAAAATTAATCAGATTGTCGTTTTTATATTAGGTGATTTGTTTTAAAAATGATGCCATAGATTTTGATCTTGGTCCTTTCTTTTAGGTATATTATTACGACAATATTTTGATCCTTTCTCAGCTGTATACCGTAATGGCACAAGATTGTATTGAGCTTTATAAACTTACGTACCATCGCCCTTCATAGAATTGACTACATCTTTCTTCTTTCTGCAGTCAGAGTTGATGTTTAAATTATTGTAATTAACATCATTGGCCATGGAAGATGATATACAAATATACTTACTACAGGGTAACTTCTAATTTTTATTTTCTTTTTCATTTCTCAGTTCAAGATGGTTAACAAACCTGATCAAGCTAATTAATAAGTTCTTAAGACGCAAAAACCATGAAAATCGAACGAATAGAATTAGACCCTTCACCTCCTATTAACCCGAAAACGATATCAGATATGCTGGAGATTAGACTTTGGCTACTCACATGATCCATTCTCCTATAGTGCTTCGCCAACTCACGTCATGCAGCTCGCAAACAAACTTCATCTCGAACATGCTCACGACATGCATGCACGGCAATTTGGACGTTACTCTTTCAACTATTACCATACCACTCCTTAATCCTTATGCATGGAAACTTTGAGAATATTTTTGCTCACGATGCTCAAGCGATGGTGGTGCCCACCATCTTATTTATCACCGTTAGATAGATTTAAATTTTGAGATATCTGTAGTGAATAGACACATTCTAAAATTTAAACTCATCCAATGATGATAAATAAGATGATGAGCATTACCACGACTTGAAGGTGATGAGCAAATTGCACTTGAAAACTTTTCCTTATCATCTCAACATATCGTCCCGAAAACTTTTCCTTATCATCTTAATATATCGTCCAATACTATTTTTCAGTGAATTCTTGATGGAATTCTTTCATGTGAGGGAAACACCGCTTGACGGTGTTATACACTCACAAACTCACCTGAATACAATGCGCACAACTATTAATACATGAGTGCATACTAGAATCTCGACATAGCAATAGTCACACATGACTTCCATCAGACCAATGGTGATTATATTGATAAATCACTATTTTAGTTACTTATGAGAGCTAGTTAGTATTAATTACTTCCTTTTCCACACTCTGGATTCCCGATCGCATCTTCGTTTCACAAATTAGATGTGATCAATCTATGACAGGTTCAGGAATGTGATAAGCTAGTCGATGATAAGATGAGGTATGTGATTGTTTCTCAAGTTAGGGGGCAATGTTCTCTTATCTTACTAAAGTCTATAATCAAACTGTAAATATAAATCATACATTATTTAAGTACGAACTTAATCAATTAACAATATAGAAAAAGAAAAGGAATAGTACGCACCTTGACTATCTTATTAAATGTATATGCATTTTTCCATAGAATATTAACAATATAGACAAAGAAAAGGAATAATATTAGATAATATAGAGTACGCACCGTCACTATCTTATCATCTATATATATATATAGCACTCATATAACAAGTACTCGATCAGTCCTCCCGAGGGCCTTTGAAGAGATTGATGCTATGTCCTACTCTAAGGACACTGCAACGGACAGTATGGAAGTGACATTTTCTTCCGACCCAACTATTAATATAATATTTTAAGTACTTTTAATGATCATCATCTTTAGCTTCAATCTCAATACAATTAGGTTGCTCTAAAGATATTTATTCGTTATCAACGGTAGACGATGGATGCTCCAATTCATCTGTCATATGCTCGACACACACCATAGTGTTGTTCATGCATGCTGGTAACAAATAATAATAGTAATAATAATAAAATAATAATAAAACGTTGAAAGCTAAGTAAGTGGGAATTTGGTCCAATGGCGAGCGTTGGATGGAAGCGTATTGGGTAGGAGTAGGCTGGAAATTCAGAATTCGAAACCTTCGTAAGCAAATGAGATATTTATGGGAACGAATGCTAAAGATATTTATGAGAAGTTAGTTTAAAGGATTCTTTCAAATTTCCATCCATATCAAGTTATCAACAAAACCTACAAAGGACGAAAATACACAAAATAAAATTATACATGAGAAAACAAATGGATCCACTGATTGGCTGATTGGTAAGTTTTTAATTACAAAGATGGCAGCTAGCGAGCAGCCTAGCACTGCAGAGAGAAACATACATACAGAAGAAAGCAAAGATAGTTCGGGAGCCAGCTGGCCAGTTCCTACTAGCTAAAGCATTCGTTTTTTTACCATGGAAAATAAAAATAAAAATAAAAACAAGGCGGTCGAAACTTGGAAGGAAGAAGAAATTAAGTGGGGGGCGTACCTCGAGCCGCTACAGAACTCGTAGAGCCTCCCCTTGGTGGAGAAGATGACGAGGCCGACCTCCACCCCGCAGAGCACCGACAGCTCACGTGCCTTCTTGATCAGCCCGCTTCTCCGCTTGGAAAAGGTCACTTGCCGCCTGATCTTGTCGTCGATTCGCTTCAGCTGCACCTTCCCTCGCCCCATTACTTGCTCTCGCTCTCTCTCTCTCTCTCTCTCTGTTGTTTCTCTCTCTAGTTTCCGGGAGCCAAATGTAAAACCCTAACCTAGAAGCAGCAGCAGCAGCAGCGAATTCGACAGCTAAATAAAGAAAGAAAGAGGGGTTTTGTACTAATTACAGAGAAATTAGATTCGCGACCGGCTTGCTCTAACTCTGATAGCTCGGTCAGTCAGTCAGTCAGTCAGTCAGTCGGCAACTCCTCCCAGCTGTTGCTTGTTTTTGAAGTCGTACTTGTGGTGTTGTTGGACATAAACCCCATTACCATTTAAGGAATTTACCTTTTATCCCCAAATATCATGCCTCCTCCGTCTCTCGAATATACGCTGGATCTCTGGCCGCCACGTGTGCACTCCTCCCGCGGTTGATCAGATTTTTTAACAGCGCGATTGATTACCATCATCCACTCTACTTAAGCCTAATTCCCAAAACATGGAAACCGTGACCGACCCCGTCTCTCTTCTCCTTAGCTTATTCAACTCGGGTGACTCGACTCGGTTAGGATATTTTGAATCAGGAGAGAAAGATAGAGGAGAGAGAGAGGGAGAGAGAGAGGGAGTGGGAGAAGAAGAGGAGAAATATCTCGAAAGTCGTACTATATAACGTTTTCTTTGGAACAGTCAACTTGATATAAGTTAAGCTTAGTTCAATTTGTTGGTTTAAGTTCACTTAGTAATTATCCACATCAAGCTTATTTTTATAATTTTTTATTTAATTTTTAAGCTTAAATATAAAAATGACTTATTGTTTCTCATTCTTCATACTCCTATTTCTTGTCTCAATATTTTCTTCTAGCTCTCTTACAAGTTAACCATGTGAACTATTCTATGTTACGAGTACTATATATAAGCATATATACCAGTATAATTTATTGAAGCATAAGCGTGTACAAGATGAAATTTTGTTGAACTATTTTTATGCATGATAAGAGATTAAGTTTTATTTATTTTCGTATATTCCTCTTTCAAATGCATAATTTATCACCTAACGTGTAAGTTTCATATACAATGACAAATAAATTTTCTTAACTAGTTTTTAGAAAAGTGATTGAATTTTTATATTTAAATATGCAAATTAAAATTTTGAGTTAACATGTATAAAACAAAGTCGTTTAGTATTACGATTTAGTAGTATTCATATTCACTAGTAAGTAAGAGATTTTATATTTGATTTTCACCGAAGGCGAATTAGCTAAACCTACTTTGAGGATTAGCCCACATCTCACTCCCTTAATGTAAATAATATCATTTGTTAAAAAAAATATAAAGCAAAAAATTCCAAATATTTAAACAAAATATATTATGTACATTAAGAAAGTATGAATGCGGGCTAAGCCTCACAATAGGTTAGCAATAAATGTGGTTCAAATTTACGTTTGGCTAAAATCGAACTTAAAACCCGTTCCTTATAAATAAAAAAGAATATTAATAGATCGTAGTAGTAAATGACATGTATCTTTTTTTTGAAACATCAAGTAAAACTGAAGTAATGTGAATATTACTATTTTGGTCTAATGTAACTATTTTGGTTTCTAGGGAATGTACCAGAACCATAGGAGGAAAGTTTTATTGTTGGTGCACACGTCAGCAAGGGAACTGGCCGGGACTAGGATTCTCTCTTCTCCTCTTTCTATCCCCTTCCATCCCTTGCTTTCACATTCTCTATTTTGTTTTTTTCTTTCTATAAAAAGTTAATATAAAATATTGAGATGGCTTAACCGTGACCGTTTAAATAGGAGGAGAGGGAAGGGGAGGTAAAAAAAGAGGGGAAATAATCCTACTTCAACTGGCAGGTGGGAATTGAGGAAGCCAACAGAGGGAGAGATTTTTTAGTGTGACCGGAACACAGGATGGTACACCACGTGTCACTCTACAAATGGTATAACGTGTGTGTTAAAAAGTTAATAACTTAAAAAATAAAATTTCCCATCACTTATATAAAAATACGTGATATACCATTCGTGTTTTGATCACAATAAAAAATTTCCTTAACAAAGAAAATATGATATTTTTCTGATTTTTCAGAACAAAATAAAGTTATTCCATTTAAAGGTAAATTCTCTATTTTGGTTTTAGTTACGTGCGATGGAAACAAAGTAGTCTCATCGCTGGTCAGGTAGTTCTTTTTACAATTGAGTATTATTCGACAATTTACAGTGTACACTCCTATGAGTGTGTTGCAGATAAGTTGCACTAACAGACTTATGAAAATTAAATCTTATTTTACTCAGGACAAAGTTTTTGCTTCTTCCTTTACTTCTTTGTGTTGGAAAGTAACTCTCTTTTTTGCGTTTAGTGAAGAATTACCTCTCTATGCACATCTCTACTTAGTCAAAAGGCAACTCCATGTTAAATTTTCAATCCACTCTTCGTTCTTAGTACGATCAATTAAACGCCCATCTGTGTACTACTATCTTTCGTATGTTTTGTTTCTTATTGCTTCACTTTGATTCCAATATTAGGTAAAACTAAATTTATTTATTTTCTATAAATAGTAGTTACTATTTCCTGGTGACCCGAAGAAATGCTCTTCTGCACTGATTTGGTAAAATTGGGGGCCCCACATCTAGGGTAAGCGGTAGGAAACTTTTGCTTTTGTCCCATCAAACCACGTCCACATCATTTCCATATTTACGTGTATTATCAAATATGGAAATTTTACCCTCATTTGGGATTGGCCTTCGGTTTTCGTGGTGGTGGGTGTGCGGGTGACCTATCTTTTCACGACAGCGCCTCTCTCTCTCTCTCTCTCTCTCTCTCTCCCCCTCGGTCCTTCTTTCTTTTTCATTGTGACGTTTTTTTATGTAAAAAATAGAATTTTATTTTTCAAGTTATTAATATTTTAACACGTATATTTTATTATTTATATAATAACACATAATGTATTACTTCGTGTGTCAATCACATTAAAAAATCTTCCCATTCTCCACTCGCACTGCACAGACACACAGCACACCGAAATATCTTTTTCTGCTTTTCCCTAATCCATCCCTTTCGGCATATGTCGGAAACCCAACCCCGCCTCCCCCACCACCCCTTCAAATGGGCCTCCAATTCCTGGGCTTTATTATTTTTTGTTCGAACTGGGCTTGGATATTCTTAAATTCTTTAAGTAGCTGTAACTGATACTTCTACTAACGATGAGGCCGCGTTTGACCGGCTAGATTGAGACTATATAATTTAGTCATGCAAATTAGCTGTCTAATGCAGCAATATATTATAAAAGTTTCGAGGGCCTAATTATGTTACAGTTGTTATAACTCATAAGCTACTTGTAAACGTATTTTTTTGCATAAGAAGTTGTACTACTACGTTACTTGTTTGCGTAAAGTACACATAGAAGAACTCTATACATCAGGTTTTCTATAATCCTCCGGAATATTGAATAGTCTTGAATTTTTAACACTTAGATATTTGTAAACTTTGGCGTTCGATTGCGGGGAAATTTAGAACGAGTGAATAAGGAAGAAGGAAAAGGGGAAAACGTAGTCCTGAAGTTAAATCCGCATAGAAAGCAAAACAGGAGTCAATGACTGCAGTTTTTGGTGGATTGGACTGCCACCGATGATGTCTAACTGGTGCTAGTCTAGTTGCTCAACATTTGGCATACACCAAGGCTTTGCTCAGCATTTGGCATACACCAAAGGCATGATTTGTTTTCGGACCCATGGCCATTTTGGAGATTTGCTTCAATGTTTCCGAAACACATGACAATACTTTATGTGTCATTATATTAGTGGAGAGCAGTTTATTTATTTATTTTTTTCATTAGTTTGGACTCCATTCTAATTAAAATTTTCACGAGTTTTCTAATTTTCTACCTAGTCGGAGATTCAATCAAATAGGTCATAAAAGAAAATTGTTAGGTTAACTTTATTTTACATCTGTCAAATTTAGAGTGATTTTTAAAATTGATCGTGAAGTTTTGATTTTCACATATTGCATCTTGTGGTATTAAAATTGTATCAATTTTTGTCTCCACTTCAATTGATTGTATGATAATTTATTAAATTGATAAGTTTGTGAGCGTGGGACTCTTATATAATATACGCCATATGAAACAATGTGTAAGCCATACTTTGCACCATATTGACACAAAACCTCATCAATTTAATGAAGGGTTAGACATTCAAAGAGACAAAGGTGTAAATATGCAAATTCAAAACCTCAAGGTGCATCATGAGAATTTAAACCTCATGGCTTATTTTGAAAATCATAGCCGCGCACTTGATTTCTCCTTACTATACAGGAGGGTGGAGCGCTAAAAAAGAGGAAGCGTTATCATTATACGAAAATGAAGTAGCGGCTAGCATGTTAAGATTAACCACTTGGAGAACGTGAAGCTCTCACACTTGAAGAGTGGAAGAAGTAGGTAGGACTAGCTAGCACGTCCAACTCATAAGAGCAACTCTAGCCCATACAAATCTACTGAGCACCAAGGGAGCCCAACTCCTTCCCAATCCCGAATTGACCGGCCCAACCACTTGGTTATATGACATCACGCTGATATCAGCTACTATTAGGAGTGACGCAATGATGAAATTGACCAAAATAAAAACCAAGGACCGAGAAAAGATTTTATTCCTCAAATTGTATGGGTAGGATCCACACCCTAAAGAGTACAGAGAGAATAACATAGGATTCTTAATTCCACTTTAGAAAGAAAAAGCAAAAGTAAGGAAAACAAATCATTACGATGTTTCATTTTCACCTATTAACTTTTCAACTAAGAATTTTAAAACTTCAATAAAAAAATTCTTTCGAGCTCCAGATTTTTCATTTTCATGCATAAGTTTTCATGAAATAATTCAGATATGTCCTAATTTCCTAATAAGCTTTTCAATTCTAGTATGAATGAAAGTCTAGTTCCTTTTTTTATTTATTTAGTTCGTGGTTAACGTATATAAAGCATAAACTTTCATATTTTTGTTGCCATGCATTATTCGAAAATGTACAATGATTTAGGATTTTAAACCCTCCAACATACTGAAGAAAGTATACACTACTTTTATTTATTTATTCTACAGTTGATCAATCTAGGAATTAGAATTTGACTAAATCGACATCATTAATCACCAAATTCAAAATTATACACAGCACTCATCTAAATTTGGGCTGTGCATATAGTTTGATTTCGTGCCGTGTGATGAAGACTGTGATAACTAGTTAATTAATCATGCATGCATGCAGTACTGACTCAGTTTTATGCCATGCTCCTAAGTAGCTTTTAAATTTAGTGATACACATATTTTTAAACAAATGAAAAGCACGTACATACGGTCTTGATTCGATCTCTCTACACAAATAATAAATCATGTTTATGGATTTTTATTACGAGATCGAACATAAGGTAATTATACATATTACGTGAGGGATCGTACGGATATTGGTAACTTCTTGATTATTCCTCCTTGTGATCAAGAGTTGATCCGTTCGAGCTTGAAACGTTCTTGAACCGAGGAAATATAGCTGGCAGCCTTCATATCGACACTCTCGTCACCTGCGCCGTAGTGATCAAACTGCTGCTTAATGAGACTGTTTTTGGTATGATGATCTGTAGCGTCTGAAGGAACAATAAACGAAACCTTCTGCTTAGGCTGAGCTGCTGCAATCACATAATCCTGGCCGTGAACCATAAACCCGGAGTAAGCCGGCGACGGAGTAGCCTGGCTCGGCTTAACCTGGCTGCTGGCCATGGCCTTGCTAGTATATTGCATACTTGTTGTCGAATTAGGTTTTGCAGCTCGGTAGAACGGCATCAACTTGCCCTTCATGAAACCTCTGCGTTTGCGATTCGACTCCATTAGTCGTATTCTGACTCCTTCTTGTTGCTATGTAGCTCTATCAAATGTGTTAGAGAAAGTATCTATGTTGTAGTGCACCGACTGAGGGGTCTGTATATATAACATTTTTCGGTGGGGTAAACATTGTTTTTTCTTTTTTATGTTGGAAAAAGTTGCTGATCAAGTTGAAATGAGTGCAGATAGACATGATCGATTAGGAAGTATATATCGTGGTCCTTCTACTAAATATCTGGAAGAATCATTTTTAATTATGTAATTGTTTCATTCCTTCCGATGTATGGATCAATACTAATCAGTTAACAAATACTTTATAAGATATGAGAATTTTCTCTTTAATTATTGTCAAATATCAAAGAGACGGACTAATAGTCCAACACAATATCATCCACAACTTATCCACATGCTAGCTCAGTCGAGATTCGGCTTTATCATAAAACTTCCCGGTACAATTAGAATAACACCATGTATTATCTATTGCAATTTGTATTGTCAATTTTCCAACGTTAGATTAATTTCAACAATTATACTTCTAGAACCAAAAATTATTGTTTGATTAATTGTATCCTTCACATTGGTTGGGGAGTTTAGGCAGCTTGGCAAGAGTTAGGCTGCACAGTAATAAACTAATGAGTAAGCGTTAGAATATATAAAAGAGAACAGAATCACTTGGAAACTAATTAATCAAGAACTTATAGAGAGAGGCCACATATTGTCCTACAGTTAAATGTGCCATTTTAGAGAATTAAGCAAGAATTATATGCTTCTCCCACTAACTAACTTATTGCTATTAGTCTATGTTAAGGACATGTTTTTGATAGTGTATTAATTAGATGATTAATTTGCATATCCTGATGATTCACCAAGTTTTAAAAATAAATTTTTTAATCAACATTTCGTTGCTTGATCCATGAGGATAACCACATAGGTTATACGTAAGTCTCCAAAAAGAAAAAGTGCTCGAAAGAATAATGATCGATCGTGCATGTGTTGCAGATCAATTTTCAAGAAACTGACCATGGAAAATATCATGCAACTGATCATCCTCGTCATCTTTTTGCAGATTTACAGAGAGAATATATTTATATTAGTATATAGTGGTAGCTAGCAGGCACTAGACAGTATCTCATGCTTCTTGTTTGTGTACTTGGGTCGTTCAACGAGGCATATGGTGCTAGAGAAGTAGAGAGCAAGCATAATTTCATGAAAAAGAAAAAGGAAAAAAAAACCCTAGGCTGTCAAACTTGCAGGGGGCATATATTTGGTGGGATAAGAACGGTGTCTTTTTCAAAGTACACCATCACCCTCGATCTATCCACTTTCATCAAATATATGATGAGATTCAGATTTCTTTGCTTTTCATATAGCAAATATAGAGAATTAAAACTCAGATACGTGATATACACACACACGATCTTAATTATACGTACTAAAGTATGAAGATAGATAAAAAGAAAACTAATGAAAATGGTTTGAAAACTTTGAGTTTTAACGATAAGGACAAAATAAAGGGTAAAGTGAATAGTGCCAGTATTGACTTTTTAGTGTAAAAATGTGGTTTTTCATTAAAATGAACAGTATCATGAGCTTTTTGTTAAAGTTACCTAATATAAATTGTATACATACGAGCCCCTACTTAACAAGAATTTCGTTCTACTGTAGCAAAATCAGAATAAAGATATGAGCATTGTAGTAAAGACCATGTATTCACCATATACGTACAAAAAGATGTACTATCTCTATTTACAGCGGTGAAGCCACACTAAGTGCTGGTTTGGTATTGCTGTACTTTAAAAAAAAAACTACTTCTGTTGTATTGTGGGAATAAGCTCATTTTTGCTGCTTCATGTTTTCAGCTTATTTTCATCCAAAATTGTAAAAATAAGCTGTTTTTAAGTGTTTACGAAATACCTTTTTGAGCTCAACTTTTTTTAATATCCATTTTTTATTATAAAAGCACTTCAATACCAAACCAATACTAAAACCCCTACGTCCTCCCCCAACCCACACTAGATCCTGACTCCGCCCATTCCTATGTAGTTGTATTTTGGAGGTTAATGAAAGAGAAAGAGGAGAATCTGATCTTATGATGTATACTTTAGGATATGATGGATCAAGCTGTGGTTAAGGTACTTGTAGAATGGGGATGCTTTGCTTTACTCTGACATGTGCTATCTATATGATAAAAGCTTCCACATTTCTCAACTTTTAATTTCGCGGATAAGATATTCTATTTCGACCCCATTGATAAGTCTCCTATTGCTTTCCCTCTCTATATACAAGTTGATTTATCACTGCTTGCTGGAATTCTTGTATATTTTCCATGTTTGCTTTGTTTTGCTATCTTCTCTTCTTCTTCCAAAAAGAAAAATTACGTACTAATAATGTACGACCTTCCTCCCTCCCAGTCTTTGACTCTTACTATGTTCTCGTTTCTAATTTTGAAATTTTTAATGCATAAAGTGATCAAATATATTCAGGAACTGATAAATTGGCGTAATTGCGTTGCATCCATAACTTTTGTGCTCGTGGGTTTTCTAAACAGTGATGAGAGACTTTGAACTTGGGATATAGCGAATTGAAGAAAAATATTGTATTCATCAGAGTAATTCACCACTTACAGTACTTTTATAGTAGTTGTCTTAATTCGAAGCCAATTGTAACAGAAAATAAAATTTCTAAAGAAATTGAACCAAAATTTATAAATTAAGCTAATTTATGAATGATTACCTTAACATGAGAACACAGATTTCTTTTGCACTCTATGGAATTCTCAATCGTTAAGCAATTCAACTGTCCCAATTCAAAGGCCATAACAACGTGAAATGTCCCCAAGATAGGATCTCATATTAATTTACTCAAAATCTTCTATATTAGCATGGAAGCGAGAAAAAACTTGATTAGGGGTGTCCACAACTACGATGTTATTCAAAAGGCACCTTTCTCAAAGCATGAAAACCATATAATTTCATTTTTACTTGACTCACGATGGCCTTACCAGTGTTTGTGTTTGGCTCATACACTCGTGAGTAATTATGAGTCGTGTTGACAACAATTGAAGACCATGCGAAGGCTTTCAGCTGTGGCAAGGAAGTCTTCGTTCAAGAAAAGACATGATCACTACCACAAAGAAAGTTGGAAGCATGTCTTGACTTTGTGGGTTGCAAAGTCGGTTGCATGCAATTGTGCAAGCTTTCTCTTTATGCATTAAATTTCATAGAGAGAAAAGGGTTGCATGCTAGGTAGGCTAGGTGTTGAATATGCCATGTGAACTCAAGACTTTTTGGTCTTGGTTGTTGGCATAGTTGCTAGTGTATGCCTATAACTAGCATGCAATATTTGTGCATCAGGGTATGCTTGTCGAGTGACAGGGTAAAGCATCAGAGAGGCATCCAAGGGGGAGAGCATTCGGCTCTCCCATGGGAAAGGTTGAACATGGGTTGAGAGAAAATCAAGAGAACTAGAGTGAAAAGATCTTCTTGTGAAAGAACTCTTGTGGTAGAGTGAGGTTCTTGAAAAAATTTTGTGAGTGGGTGTACAAGGGATTCGGGATTGGGTTATGTTGATTTAACTCATGTGTAATTTGTACCGTTATTCTCATGGTGAAGAGCAATATCTCTCTGGAGATGTAGGTAGGTTTTTGCCAAACTTCATAAATTTCTCAGTGTCTTTAATTATTGTATTTTATTCTATTCAATTGTGAATGATTTGGTGAGGTTGTAATTTAAATCTCGATTCCGCACAGACGAACAGGCTAAGGCACAACACTTACCAGTGTGAGAAGTACTCAAATTAACACTAAATTTCCCTCTATGTAAGCAAATCTGATCAAGGGAGAGTCCATTTTGTCAGAGTTTTGGGCTTTCTCGCTTTTCCCTTAGTTTTCGGCCTTTTGTAATGAAAATGCTGAAACACAAAGTGTTCCACAGAGATAAAAGGCCACAACAAGAAGTCTGTAGATACACAGGATGGGTCCGATGGGCGGTCTGTACATGTCTCCACATTATGTGTAACTTGAAGACACATATCACATATGACGTGCAGTGAACTGAAGATGATATTGGCATGGCTCAATCAGATTAAATGATCCGATCAATTAACCATGGAGATGATCACTTGATACCCAAGTCTCATAAAGGCTGAGCTCAACACGAAAATTTTTTGGATGTAATTGAGGTTATATATTTCTCTCTCTTTCGTCATATGATCATGCGTGATAGAAATCGGCTATTATTTTAATTTGATCGTATTTTTTTTTTTCTCAGAATTTATTCAAACAAGTAATGATTAATTTGGCTATAGTTGGGATCGTTTGGCAGCAATTGCTTTTCAGACGTCATTCAAGGTGATGGCTTAGTTTCAAGTCTGTAACTCTTTGAACTCCTGCCTCAACCATGGGATGATATTGCTTTTCCATAATAAGAGAGGAAACTGTAGCGGGATATCATGGAAATATAACTTCGGCACTACATTTTTGCTCTTTTTGACACTCTTTATTTTCGTCATTTGATTTTCTTTTGATTTATTCAATTTAAATTCCAGAAATAAACACGGTGTTCATATTAAAGAGCGTGGTAACATTCAAGGAATAAATACGCCATTCCGCTCGGGTTAGAGAAAAGGAGTACATCGAAAATTCCGAATGCCATCAACCTTCACTCTACAGAGTTTGATTTATACATGTATGTAATCAAGCACAAATCAAACTAACTTTTCATCTCCTCGTTTGGAATTCAAATGGAAGGAACAAAAATTTTCGTTTCCATAGAACACAAATAATTCAAACCAAATAATTTTTGTTTCCACAAAACACAAATACTTCAAAGCAATCAAATGGTTGGGGAGTCTTCTACAGTTGACTTCTCCCAGATTATTAATCAACATCAAAGAAACTAGTAAAGTACCAAAAACACAAGCTACTCCAATAAAATTGGAAGCATTTGCACTCAGTTGTTCGAAAAGCCATCAGGCCCCGGAAGAAACATCATTTCTGGAATTACAGTCCTGTCCTCCTCATCATGTGAGCATGAGAATTCAGAGAAACCACGGTTCATCTGAAGTCTCGCGTCAAGGATCTGACCTGGATGAGTAGTGGTGACAGGCGACTGAGCCAAGTGGTTTAGGCCAGTAACTGGATTTTGTGTTGGATGTGATGACAGAAGATAGAGAGCACAACCCCTTGTGCTTTTTGGCGAGGCAGCAGCAGTTATTGGAAGCGGCTGCTGCTGGCACATGAAAGCTTGAGGGGCTGCTCGGTTGCCTGCGGTGGCTTTAGGGTCACTTGCTTGCACGAAAAGAAAAGGTTCGTGTCCTGCTCCGTTGAAGGAATTGGGAGGCTTTGGCTCGTCAGTAGCACGCAGCCACTGGTGGTGGTGGTTGGAACACATGGATTCTGCTCCTCTTTTGTCCTCCACAGGCCACATACATCTCACATTAGTTGTTGCACATACTTGTGGATTACTAAATTGCAGGATTCTGGGACCTGAATGTTAGTTAAGAAATGGAGAGGCATAAATAACAATCCCACTAGGCAATGATCAATAATAATGATTACCAAACGAATGAAAAAAATAACGATTCTCTGTGCACGATGTCTCAGTGGATATCGTATGGGATAATGTCATAAATGTATCGATAACTTGTCGATAAATGATGCCAATAATCTGTTCTTTTATAAGAACGGTGTGTCAGTTCTCTCAAAGATAAATGTACTACCTCAACTCTCAATTCCTTTTTGTTCACAATTTAGCAAAATAAATCCAATTCTGAAAGTATCTATCAAAACTGAAGACAGCAAAAAAAAATATAGTTAACCAGTCCTAATTAAACAATTCAAGTGATTTGGTTCATGGACTCCATACCCTTGCAGGTGGAGAAGAAGTCGTGGGAACTGAAATAGAAGGATTCCGGTTTAGGTTTCCGCCGGCGCTGGTTGTGTCCATTGAGACGTTTTCTGCAGCTCCTCTTCCCCTCGTCAAACTCCACCAGAGAATGGACTCTACAATCACATCTAAATATTGTGACTCAAACTGAAAAAAAGGGTAGCTTCTTTCTTAATCAATTTTCCAAAAAACCTAGCAGACAATATATATAAAACAATGAAAAAGCATACGAGAATTCATTTTAGAAAGATTCCTCATCCCTTAGCTAGCTTTAAGCCTTGAACCTCACTCAGTGAATTATTCTCGTTTGAGACTGCTTTTCTTAAAAGCACTTCTAAATAAGTGTCATTGTTACAAACATGTAGAAACTTTTATTAAAAATCCAATACTTTTTCAGAAAGTATGTCTACGACAGCTTTTAATTCTTTTCTCACATGCAGTCAGAGTTTTCAAATTTTTTTCACATGTAGTTAGGGTTTTTAAATTTTAAAAATGTGCTTTTAGCCATGACAAAAGTAATCTAAAACATGCCCTGAAAATGTAATCTAAAACATTCCCTTGCTATCAAATTTAAATAAAACAATTAGATTGTATTTTTTACCAAAAACAATTAATTAAGCATGGTGAACTGATAATATATATATGTGCACCTGCTGCACTGCTGGCAGAATCGTTTCTGTTCTCCCTTGACGACGACAACAGGGGTCTTGGAGTGGAGCTCGCAGACTCTGTGCCGCCGATGATATTCACGACAACGGCTGAGGTCCGCCCTGCAACCGTCGACCAAGCATAGAACTTTCAGATGATCACTTCCATTGTTACTGCCGTTAATCCTTCTCGACGATGAGAGCTTTATTGGATCCTCCTGCAATTTCTTGAAATCCAATCCTAGAGATTCAGCTGGTCGACTCTTCATCTGGGGTTGTGAGATGCTGGACCCCACCAGAGCATCAAGGTCGCTGTCCTTGAAGTCCCATTCCATTGCTGCTCTGATCTGCTGTAAAAAAAAAATCAGAGGAATTAAATTCCAAGAAATTGGGTTGAGTTTTGAGGATACTTAGCGCTAATGAACTACGATTATTCTGCTCCCTCCAATACAAGGAGGGTCAAAGGATTCGTTGCAAAGTGAAAAACCCAGGTTGGAATTATATAAATTTAATCCCCTCCACTAACAGACTCAGAGGGAACATAAATTATAAATTCCCCCATGATCACCAACTTTTATTGTTTAAACACTAGAAATAGCGAAGATAAATCAAACGAGGACCACACCAGACCCAAAAAATCAAGGGAGGACCAGCTGAGGCAGGGAGTTTTTGGCTTGTTTTTGCTTCTATTTTTCTGTTTGTCCCTTGTTTATCGCCCAGTTTGAAGCTTTTTTAAATTTTTAGGAGTGCAAATAAATACATAGTTTAACGAACAAAAGTTGTATAATATTGAAGATAATTCGAGGGAAAGGAATGGTAGCGAAAGAGACAGTATCTTATTGCTTTTCAGTACGGGAGGCAAATTTTATAATGATCAACATGGACAATAGAATAGTGTTACTGATGTGAAATTCCCCCGAAAAATAGAAAGTTTTGTGTACTCAAACACTTGTTATGTGACGTATCGTTTTATGATTATATAATTATATATGATATTATGTTACGAGTATATTGAAAAATCTATTATTGAAAACTTGTATTCAAATTAAAATTTAATAATGCTTTTTATACTCATAGAATGAAACACGTTAGATACGGAACACACTTGTATTAGCTAGTGTGTATCAACAATGTTGTTATATTATGTTTCTAAGCAACATTTCTCCGTAAATCATACAAGCGTGTGGTTTTACTCGAAAATAAAATTAAAATTTTTGTTATAAAATCGCACACGTATACTACTAGTTAATGAAAACTAGGATAATATCCGTCCTGGTTAGTGGTAGCCTCGCAAACCCAGAAAATAAAACATCAGCATCCATATTATAATCATAAAAATTTCAGCATCTACGCATGTTCCACGAGTATGACCAGGCTCCATTTGATTTCAACTTTTCTTTTCAAAGAGAAGTAAAGTTTATGTCTTTTGCACCCAAAAAAAGAAAAAAAAAGTTCGTCTTTTATTTTTTTTTGAAAAAAAGGATAAAGTTTATGTCTCTTATTTTTTTTATTTTAATTTTCTTATTGTATGAGAAGTAAGATATATGTTTCCCTAATAATTAGGTGTAACTTTTTTTCATATCAATAAAATTCCTATAAAAAAAATATAAAAATGTTAATGTCCGCTTAGGAATTAGGTTATCCAATTCATGAAGATAAGAATGAGTACTTAAACACTCAATTAAACTAATTACTAGTGATGAAAGTCACTGCCCAGTGGTCACTCCCACAGCTTTAATTCAATCTTTTTTATGTAATGGGGCCCACCACTTATTAGGATAATACTTCGGTGCTATTAGGAGTGGATGGGGATTGTCTACCCTCCACTTACCATCCTCTTACCATCCCCTCCTGTTTGAGCAGTCACGTTTAAGCTACGTCAACATTTTATATTGATTTTTTTATAGAGATAATAAGATAAAAAATAATATGAATATAAAATATTGACGTGATTTAATTGTGATTGCTAAAATAAGGGGGATGAGAAAAGAATGGTAAGTAGAGGCCAGACAATCCCCATCCATTAGGAGTATGACTCATTTTTTCTTTCATCCATTCATAATTTCATATTCATGGTTTGGTGGTGGGTCAATTGATTAATTAGTGGCTCATTAAAGACAACTACAGGTCTATTATACGAATATTTGTCAACTGTCATTAGAAAAAATAAAAAAGTTTTTTGTCTTGAGAATCCGTCGTGTATGTTTATGTATTTTTCTTTGATTACGTTTGAAATAATCACAAAGATATATACAACGGAAGATTTATTAGAATCTCCCTTACATCTTATGCTCCTACAGTAATTTTCCTAGCATAACAGTGATGTTAATAAATATATAGGTCAAATAAATATATGTGTGTGTGTGTATAAAATGTTTACTCATTACCAAGGTGATCATTAGATTTGATATTAAATGATATAGATATGTTTTTAGTGTTTATAATTTCAATTTTCAATATTAAATTGCTCTCTCTATGTATATTCCCTTTACTATATATATTCCCTTTAGTGTGAAGATCCGTCCTGTAATAGCTTAAAATTTGTATTACTACACCTGCTTGATGCCTTGAAGGAGTCGACGAATTTAAAATCTCGTTCGTTGTAATAAGGTGATGGAACTAAAACAAAACAATAAAGATGCGTTTGTTGCACCGGACTGTCTCGGACTGGACTAACTTCAGGGATTAAGCTAGACTGACTTAGACTAGACTAAGTTGGACTAGCTTAGTGAAGCGTTTAGTGCAGTGTCGGACTAAAAAACAGGATAATGAAAAAAGTATTGTCACCAGTTTCTCTTCGTAATTATACATCGTATATTATAAGTCATAACCTTTGTTGCTGAAGAACTTTAAAGTAATTTTCATATAGGTATTTCCAAGATAAATAAAAACAGAGAAATTAGAATTCTCTCATTCGAATGATTAACTCATGGAATCATGCCATGCGAGGGAGATTAAACTTGACGTTATGTCATTAACAACTTTCGTATGATTATTAACCCATGAAAAAGGAAAGGCAGAATTCAAGCAAGGGGGTCATTCAACAGGTTCGACTATTAAGCTTTTACAGTAAAGAAATTTGAAGAGAAAACTGACAACAGCCAAACACGGGCATATGATCCATATGCTTAGGAGTCAAGACTATGATTCCGCCCCAGTCTCAGCAAATGAAGCATCAGTTGCAGAAGTCTGGGCTTCTAATAGCTTCGCTTGGCGTTCTGCATGTTCTCTTTCACACTCAGTGATTCCCATTATAATATCAAGCATGGTATCTGTTGTGCCGAAGAACACAAGCAGTGCTAAAGATTTCCTTTTTACCCCCACTGGAATTGCTAACAAAGCCCCTGCTACGGAGAAAACCCAAGTGCCCATTGCGTTGCAGATAGCCATGCACAACATCATTCAACTACACTTTAAGCAAGCACATAAATCAGAATAAACTTAAACGGGAAAGACTCTATCTACGATGCCAAAGAGAAGTACGGCCTGTGAACCATAAAGTGAAATTTGCCATGCTCTAATGAAGTTAAGTGATGTATAGCAGGTTTAGCCAGATTTTTCTGATAAACACATAATTTCTCTCTTTCGTGTAACGACATGGGTCTCATTATTAAAAAAATTAAATTGAGTAGAAACATCTGCAGGATTGCGAACCATAAAATTGTGGAAGAAAACATCACAAAAACTTTGTATGGAGTCCAATGATTCAATAACTAATACTGACGGGAGCAAAAACATGCTTGAATTACTTGCACAAGTTTTAGTAGACATGTCTAAATTCTCCATGATAGCTAGAAGTCACTATGGTCAAATGTACAAGTATCCTGGTTTATAACAGAATCTTAAAGTTCAACACGAAATTGGTGATCTCCTAGCTCCATGAGGATTTGTTAATATCAATTTGTTTGATATTCCTTTTGATAGGTTAATGATTAAACTGTCCAAGATATGCACAGCTTAAGAGTATCTGAATAACAAAGAAAAACTTTTGGATCAAAATAATAGAACATCTATGGTGATGTGCAATAAGCAGAACCTTCCAATGCAATAAATCCGCTGATGAAAGCTTCAGAAAACGATTACTCACAAAATTTTCCAAAGAGAAGCTTCCAGTATGTTAAATATTCACTAGAAAACAAGTGGCACCTTCAAGGGCTGAAGAAATGGTTTTCTTTCTAGGTCTGGAGCTGAAGAAACGGTTACAAAGCTCGGAAAGGATCAAGTATGAGCAGAACAGGTAGAGAGGCTTCTTCTTAAATCTTAGCTCATAGCATAATTGTTCAACACATCCAATACAACTAGATACCCTGTCACTGCCAATACAATACCAGTCATCCTGGACATAATGCATCCCTAATCCACTATTAAGATCTCCATATAAGGGTGAATCTCTCACACATTCCACTAGAAGAACCACAAAAATTGAAAACATCCATAAGCTGCGAATGGATTCCCAAATGTCAAATTCTTAATAAGTATATCCAAAAAACAAGCTGCAGTCAGTGACCCAGTGCCGTTCTCTGAAATTTGATAATTATGAATGTTAGATTATAGTTAACCACCAAAAACCCTAAAGAAATTCAAAAATCCCATTGAAATGCATAAGCAAAATCGAAAGGAATAACAAAGAGCAATTGAATTTGGAAAATTAAAAAAGTACCCATTGAAATGCAAGGCAAATGAAACTCACCTGATCAGACCATCGCCAGTGATACAGGTCTGTCGTCGATTGTTCATATGTTGGATGGCTAAGAGGTGGTGCGACAAGGAAGGAGAAGGGAAAGGGCGAAGGTGCGAAGGGACGAGGAGCAAGTTGCAGTTGCGGCGGTTGATGTGCGAAGGTGCGAAGGAGCGAAGGAGAAGGGAGATGACGAGATTAGAGGGCGGCTTAGCAGTCCTCTCCGAATCGGGAGGTCTCGCTAAAAGCTATTAGCGAGGGACTCTGTGAAATCCTGTTCTCAGATTTCACTGTTATAATTTACGTATTTGTATTATTGAGATTTTATATTATTTTTCGAGAATTTATATTAGTTTATTTGAAATTAGATTTCAATTAAATTAGTTACGAAGAGTGAAGTTTGGAAAATTATTATTTACTCGTTGGCCTTTTGAGGTCACAAGTAACGTTTTCAAATAGGTCTCAAAGCCACGAGGCCATAGGTGAAAGTCGTTTGCGAGTCCGGGTTATAACTGTATAGTTACAGACGTTTGAAGTTGTGAAACTATAGATTGTGGGAAATATTTTAATTTCCACTTAGAGGGTAAAAGGCCCAAATTTATATTTGGGTTAAGGGAACCGGCTAGGAAGAGGAAAAAGGGGGGGGAAAAGAAAAGAAAAGAAAAAGGAAGAAAGAGACATCCCCCTCCCGTCCGTACACCCGGGCCCCCACCCGAGCAAATTTCGGCGATTTTCTCCATCTTTTCCATTGAATAACCACCATTAACTACCTGCAATCTCTTCCACTACCTCCCTTCTACCTTTCTCACCCAAGATTGAAAGGTTTTGGGTCCAAAACTATGTGGGTGACCCATGGAGTTTTGACGGTGATTCCATCGTTCCGGTGAGTTTCACCACCCACCACCACCCTTAGTCAACTCCCCTTGGACCCAGGAACAAGACCCAACAGGTTGTAGGGGTGTTGGAACACCAAGAAAGTCGAATTAAAGAACACCCACCTTAGGGTTCCGGCGGTTAGTGGCCAGTTTAGGGTGTTTTCCGGTCAAATTGGCCTTGGCCGCAGGTATAAAGTTTACTCTACTTGTTGAGATCTTCATTCTTGTGAAAATTATTTTGGAAAAAG